TTGTTCAGGCTCAGGCCCAAAAATTGCTTAGGTGGTTTGGGCTCGCACTGTATTTTTTCAGGGTCAGGTCTAATTTTTTGGGGCCCAATCAATCAAACTAACAGTTGTTTGTTACAATAGAGGAGAAGTGAAGTCAGACTTGGGTCATGTTTCCTTATAGGCTTCTTTAATAAGTGCGGCAGTATCCTTAAGTAGTCATTAAGCCAGCTTTATATATGAATACAGTTCCATCCTCCCTTTAAAACAAATTACTTGTCTCTCACTCTGTAACTTTGTTTATTCTCTGTAAATAAACCACGCCTGAGCTTACTCATATTTTCACAGAGGTAGCACTCAAAAAGATTAGCCAGAGAATGTTGCTGTAGCCTCACTTTGTGACCACATGTGCGTATATTCTCCACATGATTAAAGAGATATAGTGTTTACCATGAGATCCTTGCACACTGAGATAACTGATGTGTTGTCCCCATGGAGACCGACATAGAGGACAGGATGTTTGCTCAGGTGATGAGAGTCTGAACAATATCAGGGGAGGTGTTGTGGTGTCGCGCACCAAAACACCCGGTGTGATCAAATACACTTTCCAACAGCACTATTGAAGTCATGGAGAAGGCAGAGACAAAGACTGCAATGGGGGGAAAGAACACCTGCTACCTGCTCTGTTTGCTCTGCTTTGACTCATGGGCTCATGGATGTTTACAATATATTGCCTCCTGGGATCCAAGCAACATACTATCACACTTATGGGTCCTAAAAATCCAATGGAGTTTGACTGGAAATCTCTAGAAAAAAATAACTAATTATGTACAATTAGCTAAAACAAATGCAGTTTAGCTTTATAAAGGCTGTAATGTGCAGTTTGTGTTGACACTCCTTTAGAAAGGCATTGATTCAACATTATGGTCATTTTGGAGACTTCTAGGAGTTTGTGCAGCTGTTGAATTTTTTTTCTTTTATATATATTTTTGGGGCTTTTTCCCTTAATTGGCAGGACAGTTTGAGATAGACAAGAAAGAGGGAGAGAAAGAATCAACAACAACATCATCTCCTCCTACTGCCGGAGATACCCACTTGGAAGGCTGAGATTCGCCGGTAGATGCCACTGAATCGTATACACTGGTCCTTTAAGCTTGGCTATTGTTTATGTTAGTAAAAGAAGTATATATATGTATAAAATGTAAAATGTATAAAGTTCATTCTGGAAGTGAATTCTTGAGAAAATGTTCTCCCCTAAATGTAGGAAACATGACAAAGACTCTGTTGTGTTATGCAATCGCAGGGTAGTGTGGGAATTTCCAATTTCACTTCCTTAATATAAGATTAAGAAATCAGTTTACATTATCAGACGCAGCGAGCCATCTGATTAACTAACTAACTCAATTATAATTTAAAAGATACCTTTGGGGGTTTGAATGATGGCTGTTCAACATTTGTTGAATCTGATTCACTAGTGGGCCTGGCATTGTCACTGAATTCATCAATGGCCCAATATTAAATGAGCAGTGAAGATTTTATGAAAAGATTTATTTTTTCCAGGCCTTATTACCCTCTCTTGTTCAGGGGAACTGAAAAAATGACCTCCTATTCTCAGGCTCTTGTCCCTTCAGCTGTAATTACTGCACCAACTCTACTATATACGGTGGTGGAAAGGAGCTAAGTACATTTACTCACAGTACTGTACTTTAATCAGAGATATTTGTACTTTACTTGAGTATTTGAGTGTTTTATGCAACTTACACTTCTACTCCACTACATCTCAGAGGCAAATATTGTACTTTTTACTCCCTTACATTTGTCTGACAGCTTTAGTTATTTCTTAGATTACAATTTTGTATACTCTTCTTGGTCAGTTCAAAATCAATTCAGTTGTATTTGTATAGCGCCAATTCATAACAGAAGTTATCTCAGGACACTTTTCAAATAGAGCAGGTCTAGACCGAACTCTTTAAAACATTATTTACAGAGACCCAACAGTACCAGCATGAGCAAGCACTTGGCGACAAGGGCAAGGAAAAACTGCCTGTTAAGAGGCAGAAACCTAGGACAGATCCTTGGCTCTAGGTGGGTGGTCGTCTGTCTCGACCAGTTGGGGTGAGAGAGAGAGAGAGAGAGAGAGAGAGAGAGAGCGAGAGACAGACAGACAGACAGGTGCACACCAACAACAGTATTGGCAATGGCAATCTAGCAGGACCATGGCAGGAGGCTCCACCAGGATCGACAAGAACCTGCGAGAGTCAGTGAAAACCCTGTATCTACAGATGTGTTGATGTTGTATATTGGTAATAAACTGATGGAGGAAGTGTTCCTTTATCGGTTGAGAAAATGTGTTCACTTCCTAAGCTAGATAAACAATATAAAAAAGATCAATTTAAAATCTTATTGGATCAGCTGGAAAATACATCATCACACAGTTGAAAGTGGGTTGTTTTTACTGCATTTTACTGCTGTGGATGTTTGAGGTTGAGCTCATTTGAACTACTTGTTCGGTAGTTTAATCTACAATAATACACTATATTCTAGAAGATCACTATATGTTTGTAGCATGTGAGTCAGAAAAACAGCCTGTTTTCAGCTTTGTGACTATGCACTTTTCAACTGATCCAAGAGGGATTTGAAATCATTTATACAGCTTAAGAAGTAGAAGAATCACATAAAGGAACACTTCATCCTTCAATTTATCACAAACATTCATCAACACATTTGGGAGAGACATGACTTTCACTGGACAGGAAGGGGATGAAAATGTGTAATCTGAAAGTAACTAAAGCTGTCAGACAAAGTGGAGTAAAAAGTACAATATAGTGGAGTAGAAGTATAAGGCTGCATAAAATCACTAATAGAAGAAAATAAGAACAACCACTGTAGTCAGGCTGACAGAGAGTCACAGCTCTATTGAGCCACGTATCCCCATAACCCTGAGCTGAGTAGTAACGACTTTATTAACTTCTTTTATAATAAAAATGATTACTAATAGAGACAAAATGAATCACCAACTGCCCTCAACAGGTATTGCTATCTCTCCAAGATGAGGAATTTTAACAATTGTAAATTTAGATATATATTTAGACTGTCTTCCTGCTATCGAGCTGCATCAACTAACTTCAATCATTTCTACAGCTAAGCCATCAATCTGTCTGTTAGACCCCATCCCAACTAGGCTGTTTAAAGAAGTCTTACATTGGCAGGATATGTATCACAGTCCTTTAAAGTAGCTGTAATTAAACCCCTTCTTAAAAAGCCCACTCTTAACCCAGGGGTTTTAGCCAACTATAGACCAATCTCTAACCTCCCCTTCCTCTCTAAGATTCTGGAGAAAGTAGTCATCAAACAGTTATGTGACCTTCTACATAGCAACAGCTTATTTCATCACACATATAGTTCATCACAGTTAATAATGACCTTTTAATTGCTTCTGACAATGGACTTGTCTCTGTACTTGTATTATTAGATCTTAGTGCCACATTTGACACCATTGACCATAATATTCTTTTACAGAGACTTGAGCATCTAATTGGCAATAAAGGAACCGCACTAAGCTGGTTTAAGTCATACTTATCAGATCGTTCTCAGTTTGTACACATTAACGATGAATCCTCCATAAATACAGTTAGTCATGGATTAGCCAATTCTATTCACTATATATATGCTTCCCTTAGGCAACATTATTAACTTTCACTGTTATGCAGATGATACCCAGCTATATCTATCAATCAAGCCCGATTAAATTAATCAATTATCTATATTACAAACATGTCTTAAGGACATAAAATCTTGGATGAGCTGCAATTTTCTGATGTTAAACTCAGAAAAAAAACGAAATTCTTCTACTTGGCCCCAAAAAACCTCAGAGACTCACTGTCTAAAGATTTAGTTACTCTAGATGATATTACCTTGGCCTCTAGCACCACTGTCAGGAATCTTGGGAGTTATCTTTGATCAGGACATGTCATTTAATTCCCACATAAAGCAGACCTTGAGGACTGCCTTCTTTCATCTATGTAATATTACAAAAATTAGACACATACTATCACAGACAGATGCAGAAAAACTAATCCATGCATTTGTTACTTCAAGGCTGGATTACTGCAACTCTTTATTATCAGGTTGCCCCAATAAGTCCATTAAAACGCTCCAATTAATTCAGAACGCTGCAGCACGAGTACTGACAGGAACTAGAAAAAGAGATCACATCTCTCCTGTACTAGCTTCTCTGCACTGGCTCCCTGTAAAATGTAGAATTGAATTTAAAATCCTCCTCCTCACCTATAAAGCTCTTCATGGTCAGGCCCTTCCATATCTTAAAGAGCTTATAGTACCCTATTACCCTACTAGAACACTACGTTCTCTGAATGCTGGGCTACTTGTGGTTCCTATAGTCTCTAAAAGTAGAACAGGAGCCAGAGCCTTCAGTTACCAAGCTCCTCTCCTGTGGAACCAGCTTCCAGTTGTGGTTCAGGAGGCAGACACCCTCTCCACATTCAAGAGTAGGCTTAAGACATTCCTCTTTGATAAAGCTTATAGTTAGGGCTGGATCAGGTGAGTCCTGAACCATCATGAGAATTAAACTGATCTAACGATGTGTAACATGTCCGTATTTAACATTTATATTTGTGTAGCTGTTCAAAGCAGCTTAGAACTCACTCAAGTGGGTGACCTGGTGGGCTTTAAGAGGTTTTATACATCCAAAGAACTTCTATAAAATCCAGACCAGGCCTCTAATTTAGACCTACCTTGATTACATTAATGCATTCCCGTTTTCTGTACAGTTTTCTTATCTTTATTGATTTATTGATATTAGTGTGCTTCTCCATATATCTCCCACAGATTTCAAACAGCGTTAGAATGTTGTGTTATGATGAAATGACCCTTCCTTCTTTTTACTTTCCTTGATAAATAAAAAAAGCATAGTTCAACTTGGCATAGTAAGAGTAACAATGGCGCCCCGTTGTGGTCAGTACCCGGCGTGAGATTGTCGGTAAACTCCGACTTGAACCGTACTTATACGAAAGAAACCGAGCCGGAGCGGAGCTGTCCGGAACATCCGGCCGTAGCCTCTCAACATAAACAGCAATGGCGGAGGCAGCAGTAGCGTCTACGGCGACTTCACCAGTAACAGGAGGTTGGACCAAACACGTAACCTGCAGGTAAGACAAGGCAGACCTACATTAAAATATCGAAGATGACTATGTCGCCTGTCGTTTGGCAGCAGAATAATGGTGATACGGTGGCTGACGAGTGGCTGACAACAGCGTCTTCCTCGGCTCCACTCAGCTGTTGGTTAGCTAGCTGTTAGCTGTAGCGCTGCTGTTGTTAAGTTGGCTGTGTTATTGTCACTCAGCAGGCTGCTGTGCAGGTTAGCGGCCAGTTTGCTAGCTGCGTTTTCGACAACGAGCAGCTAACGCTAACGCTAATGTCAGGCTGTAATGTTAGACAACTGTCATACAACGGAGCGATAAAACCCTGAACGCAAATGTTACCTATCTCAGCTGTTTACAGCCACTCGGTACACTTTCACTTTATAACTAACCGACGTTAACACCAGCTAGCTTTGCCGGTTGGTGAATTTAAATTCCATAACAGTCACAACACTTGTTATGTGCCTCTTCCAGACTAGACATCGGCTAACGTTATGAGTAGAATTGTTTGTTGTGTCTGTGAGAAGATTATCTTGATTGCGTTGCCAATGTGAAAGTGAAAGACGACATTGACACAGTGGCTCTTTTCTTAGACGTAAAGGGTCGTTCTCCTTTTTAAACTTAACGTTACATTACTACGTTCAGTTTGACATGCGCATATAGGATGAACTTCCGTTAGTATGACAGGAAATCTTTCCTCTGCTTTTGTATTTTCAGATATTTCATGCATGGTCTTTGCAAAGAAGGAGACAACTGTCGATATTCCCATGATCTGACCAACAGCAAACCTGCAGCCATGATTTGCAAGTTCTTTCAGAAGGGAAACTGCGTGTTTGGGGAGCGTTGCAGGTAAAGACGCAAGTAAAATCATTCATCATTCTCAGTACAAATTTAAATTGAGCTTTGAACACAACTGATGTGTTCAAAGTCAGATGCTACAGCCTAAAAAAGTGGTCCCAGTTGTCAGTTGAGCTGCATTATAAGTTCTTTCTAAAACTGGTAGTGGTCTCAGCCAAATGTCAGCACAGCAGCTTTGCCGGCAGGGCTTCTCAGAAGTGTTACAGCCTGCCCCCCAAGTGGATCTGACACCTGAGACTGCTGCTTCCTAATGTCAACATGTTGTTTGTCTGTGGCTGCTGCATGTAGGTCCACGGAATCCCTTGTCTGTGGCACTACACTGTCGCTCCGCTGGGTGCAAGGTGTATTATGCATTTGAGCTTTGTGGAACCAGTGTATGTTTGACATGTGTCTGTGTAACCATAGGTCTTTGTTGCGATGAAATACATGCATGGGAACTTCGGTTGCAGGAGAGTTTTGGGGAATTCCGCTCTTGTTTTTTTGTCAGAGTCTTTCTTATACACAAGTCTGGTCTGTGTATGACGAGGAATGGAACAATTAGTTTCATTATTGGTTAATCTAAAAATATTTTACACAATTTTTTATTATAAAATATGTATAAAATGTCAGAATAAAGTGAGTAATGCCCATAAAAACCTTTGTAGATGCCAAGTTAAAACATTTGTTTTGTGTTTTTTATTTCCAAAAACCTGCAAATATTCATATAAGAGGGGTTGGAACCAATTCATTTTTACTTAAAAATGACTTGTCCGGCTAATCGGTTATCAAAATGATTGCCTATTTCTTATCTGTCAGTTGACTAATTAATTGACTACTGCTTACCATTTTACAAAGCATGTTGGTTGGGGCTACCTCCTAATAGTTGACTGAGCCATTGAGAAGAGTCTTAGTCGACCCACTTGTCATTGGTTGGATAGTAGCAGAAAAAAAAACCCTGTGTGGGAGCTGGGACGAAAGTATCAGGGGATTGTTGCAAACGTACCTTTTCCCTTGTAACTCAGGAAACATCTCACCGGTACATTGTTGCATGTAATTTTGAACTCATTAAATACCTGATGATGACCTGTCAACTATTGGCTTTATCTAACAACTAGGAAAATATTTTATTGGGGGCAGCCCTAATGTTGGTAATATTTTATATTTTTTGTTTCCCATTCCCATGTGGTTTCCATTCATTCCCCCCCTTTTTTTTATGGAAATGAGAGATGCCACTAAACCATACACACTGGTCCTTTAAATCCATACACAATAAACAAAACCTTACATTATTCTAAGAATTTCTGGCAAATAGCTTCAGGTTGCCAAAAGGACAGTATGTTCAATTTCATCAACTGATTCTCTCTAATTAACAATTAAACTCAGACGTCAACATTATTCCAACCCTGGTTTTAGAACACAACATATTTGGTTTTGTTTCTGCGTCTGATCACCAAGCTGGCTTTTTGTTTTGTGAGTTTTGGATGTGTTTTTCAAAGTTTCAGCTGTATCATTGTTACATGTGTGCAGACTAACAGCAGAAACGATGTTCATTCATGGATTGCTTAATGGAGGTAACATTCCCATCCATACAAGCAGATTTTCACACTGGACTGAAATCGGTATCACGCAGTGGCTCCTTACTCCTTGAAAACTGCTTTATTTTTCATCTTAATCTGGCGTTTCATCACAGTAACTCCTGTTAGCTAAAAATCTTATATTTGAAATGAAACTATCCTGTCATCATATTTGTTGGTCGTCTCCTGGCAACAAAAGTAGCAAACTAATCAAAAATAATCATGATCAAAACCTACTACTAAGTTGATGTGAACAGCTGGGAAAATAAAGTGACAATATACATTGATTGCTGTGGGTATGAAGGAATTCTGTAGATTGTATTTGCCACAGTTGCATTCCTAATAACAATGTAGATGTGAAGCTAAAGGCTGTGAGAGTCTGGAGATTTTCCATGTGGAAATGGAACCCTGGCTGCAGCGTGCTTTGAATATGGGCTCAGACATGCAGCGATATGGTCCTTTTGAGAAGCAGATTAGGCTCCCACTATGTTGTCAAGCTTGAGTGTACCCAGACAGCAGCAGCCAGCTTGTACAGACAGTGTCTGCTCCATGTCTGGCTTCAGGAGCATCCCCATAGTTACCGAGGCAGTCGGAGGACCACCCCAACAGCAGCAGGGGCAATTCACTTCCGTACTTACTTGATCCTTTTTCTTGAATAGTCAGCCTACTGCCGGTTGGTAGAGTGAACATAGCACTGAGCTGCTGCTGCTGCTGCTGCTGTGGTGGTGGTGGTGGTGGTAAGTCACATTCCTCCATCCTTGTGATGGAGATGCAGTAAGGGGGGTGTCCTCATTATTTCTGTGACCCTGTGTGGCTGTGCAGCCTGTATTAGGAGTCCAGAGAAAGCCTCTCGCTGGGGGGGGTTTATTATGGTTGAATTCCCTGGGCTCTGTCTATTGTGATGTGCTCTGTCTCGCTCTCTCACTCTGCCTCTGTGTCTCTCTCTCCTGCAGCCCCCAGGGCCAGACAGAGTGCACTGCAGCCTGCATGGCAATTGCATAACACTATGTTTCCCTCCTGCTCTCTTTCTCTGAGCTCCCCCCGTGCTGTTGCTGGGTTCCCCAGGTTCATTCTGCTGCAGCACCCTCCTCATTTATTTATGCATAGCTCCAGCAGCCCCCCTCTCCACTCATCCAGTGCTCCAGGGTCTTTCCGGGAACAGACTGGTTACCAGTGCATTCTGATGGAGCTCGCCATCACAGAGGAGGCTGGAGGAGAAACAGGCCAGGTCTTCCTTTTGTATGGCTGTGTGCACAGGCTGTCACAGCCTGTTAGTCATGCTTTATTGTAGCTATGGAGTTGAGTTGCTTTCTATACTGAGGACTCTGACAGACAGTTCTGTATCGTCGCTGGACCATGAATCCTATTATATTTGTCATTTTGATTTATACATCAACACAATGTCATTCTTACATGACAATAGTTCAATCAGATCAGTTGCATTTAAGCACTCCTACACTCTTCGATGTCACATCATGAAATGTGATAAGTATGACAAACTGTGCATAAGCAAAGGTCATAAAAACAAATCTATCCTGTGGGATGAAATTGGAAGAGTAAGAGCTAATATTACTGATTAGTCCAACAGCAAGAAGGCCTGCATGTCAGGGCTTCTCTCTCCTTTTCTCTTCTCAGCTTAGGTCTCTTCGCCTTTTGTCATTAGCATTGTCCGCTTCCTCGGCATTCCCCGTTCCAGACCTGAAAACCTCCTTCTCCCAGTGGTCCAAAGCTCCTGTGCTGCCAGTGTAAACTAAACACTCCCCCAGTGCTCTGAGCACCCACTCCCTGGTGCAGTACGGCTAAGCTAGCTAGCTAACAGCAGCTACATTTGGCAGCAGTTACTGTCTCTTTAGGGAAACTCTGTAAACGCAGAGAGTTGAGGCAGAGCAGCTAGAGAGAGGGACATCAGAGGGAAAGCCAGAAAACATTTTCTCCGTAAGATATGATCCAGTTTCACCAAAATCAGTGACTTAATCAGTGAGTTAGTAGTTAGTGTTACACACTTGCTTCAACACAGAGTGGGAATGACAGAGGCACATTCGCTCTGTTACAACTCGGTGTAACATCAAAATGATAGTGAATCTGTCATTTTAAGGTCGAAAAGTTCCATAATGTTGCTTTAATTAAAACATTCCTCTCCCCCCTGACAAAGGCAAACTCAGAACTTCCTCTGTGTTTTCTATATAACAGTAAAACATTTTTTGTTTTGACCTGTCAGATTACTCTCAGAATTGAGTAAAACAGCTGATGCTGTGCTTTTGTCATTTTAACTGGGGAAAGCAACAGTCAGCGCAGGCTAACAATGAGAAGGTGCTACCTGAACGTTTTATATATTGATCCTGGCTAACAAGAAAGAGGGCCCCCACGGTGGGTTGCACTGGTTAGCACTGTCTCCTCAAAGCAACAGTGTTCTGGGTCAAACCCCTAGAAAATGTCCTATATCATGATGTCTATCAGTATTATCGATATAAAATACTGATATAGGTTTTATCATTATATCCACTGCTAGCATATGTGGTTGGCATTTTAGTTTGGTAATATCTTATCCTTAACACCATAGCCCATAGCCTGCTTCCATCTTACGTATATAAGGTCTCATAAAACTGTTTCTCAACTGGGAAAAACATGAGATGTGGTTCTAAATATAGCCTCTAGACTAGCTCTGCATTATATCATGGTTTTCCCTCCATGAAGCCTTTATCTTTCAGGCCAAGGCCATTCAGAAAAGCAGTTTGCTGTTTTTCTTTGTTGAAACATCACACCCTTCACTCGGATAGTGAAGCTGTTGTCTGTAGTCCTCTGCTCAGCCCAGCAGGGGAAATAGCAGTTTACATTCCAGTTCCATTCTTATTATTGACAGGGGAGGAAGGAGAACCCAGGTCCTGTATTTTACATGCTTTATCAGACTAATACCACTGTACTGGGCTGCACAAACTGAACCTACTGAAGGGCAAGCTCAGTGTCTTTGAGCTCCATGGTGTTTGTCTGTCTGTGGATTTACTTAATAGTTTTACATTAGTGACTTACAATTTGAATCTATTGTTACTGAAACTGAACAGTTCAGTTGAGTTCAAACTGACCTGGGTTTTCCTTGACGTTTCATTTCAGACTTATGTGTTATGATTAAGTGTGGGAGTTATAATTATCATTAACAATTATCACAAATTAAATTTTCACTAAAAAACAATTTTAAATCATGATGATGTGACATTTGTTGGGGTCTGTCCCAAACACACATGCTTTCTTACATCTGGAGAACAAGATTAGTAGGCCAGGAAATCTCTACAGCACTACAGTACATCATTATAAAGCTGTTTTGTCACACATTTTACCTTTATCATAAAATTGCAGCTTCTGTGATTTGCCATATTGATTTTGATAATAGAGTAATTGTGCTGCCCTAACCGTGATGCTGCTTTTCTCAACAAAAAACAGAGGCAGTCCTGTGGCCAGTAAGGACAAACACAGTTTGACTGTTTAATTCTTTAAGGCTATAAAGACAAAAAAAACAGCATGCTCAACTCCACACCACTCATACACTGTTTGGGCACTATTGTAGCGTAGTAATTATATGATAATAATTCTAATATAATAGTAATTACTATTGGGTGTAGTAATGACCTTTTTTGAGTTCTTGGTATCCTTTTAACTCCTGGGTTGTGCATATTTAGCATCTTAAAATAATGTTTTTGTATTCCTTCCGTTCAGCTGCTCATTGCTCTGGTTCCAACTTCCCTGCATTAGTGCTGTAGGACAGTAGATGGTTAAACTGTAACACTCCTGCTCCCTTGTGCCTCCTCAGGTTTGAACACTGTAAACCAGCAAAGAACGAGGAGCCGCCAACCCCCCAGACGCTGCCGCTGCCCTCCGTCTCGCTGGTTGGCCCATCTGATCCAGAACCCAGTGGGCCAACACCTGGCCCAGGGGCACCAGACTGGGTCAATGCTGCCGAGTTTGTTCCGGGACAGCCATACTGTGGACGGGGTGAGTGACCACATGGAGTTTGATATTGGTACTCATACTGCAAGATAACCCTACATCAATGTGGAATACAGAGGTGCTTCAGTTCCACTCACACGCCATGTGAATTTGTGGTTAGGGTACTTTGTTGTTTGCAATTCAAACAACCTTGGGTGTGTTTGTCCATTTGGATGGGTTAATTTAGTTGTGTGTGAACTCTTGCGGACTAAACAACTGGACCAAGAACATGTGACTCGGGAAATCAGGTCCTTTTGTTTATTACTCTTATTTTGATGACTAGAACTAAAAGACAACAACGTTTTTTTTCCTGTGGTCCGTACAAAGTCAACTGAACAACAGGCATAAATGCCATCTAGCTTACACTGTGGACTAGAGGTTGACTGATGGTAGAGTTTGGAGTTAGGAAAAAAGCTGATAAAACTGGATCACTGTTAAACTAAATTTCTAAGTCAAAGTGATAATTATCTAAATAAATGTATAATTAGGATTCTGACTTGTCCTGGAAAAACTGGGAAACCTGGAAATTTAGAGATTAGTTTTATAGTCATGGAAACACCTGGAAATTGATAACAATGACCAAATATACTGGAAATAATCTATGTTGTCCTGGAAAATTTTAATAGTATTTTCTGACATTCAGATTCTGTAAACCTAGGTGTGTATTTTGTTAGAAACTCAACTGTTGGTAGGATACCCTATGACACTTGAAAGTGGGTTTACCAGATCGGACCGGATCATTTCATCTCCCATGTCAGATAAGAGCTTTTCACACCACTTGCAGCAATTTTGGTCGTCAGGTCTATTTTGGAAATGCTGTAGATGGTCACATCTGCAGGCATAATAATATGCCTAATAGGTTAGAAGTTCAATTATCTGTAAAATAAAATTAATTTGGACTGTTATTTATGCTCAACTGAGGCCACAGTGGGAAAACCAAGTTCGCCACAAGAGTGTCCCATAAATGCTGACCACCATTGTGAGCAAGTGATGTCCCGTTTTGTAAAAAAAAAAGTCCTGGAAAAGCCCTAACCCTAACCCCATTTTTTTTTTTAAAAGAGTGGGAACCCTGATAAATGTATATATCTGGAACTGGACATCAAACTAACCATAAAAAAAATCTGTAAATTCAGTTGAGAAGCCTGATTTCATGATAAGATGTACAATAGCGGTTTGAGCAGGAGCTGGGGAGTTTAAACTGCAAGCCTCAGTGCTCCATTCTGATTTGTTGCTCAGATCAGCTTTTTTATCTTTTTAGTTTGGCTGTTCACAGTATTGAAAGTTCATCCACTGTCACATGGTCTTAATGCAGAGCAGTTAAAATTCTGACTTCCTTGTCAAGTTAAAGGTTGGTTAAGTTGCATTTTGTCTGTACATAAAAGGGGAAAAAAAGTTGTGTGCTGAAAGGAAGGTTAAGATATAGAAGTGTTCTCAGATGAGATTCTCCTCATTCATGTAAGCATGGACAGTTTCAGGCACAAAATAGATGTGTGTAAAAATATTTCCGTCTGTCCTGGTGGACTGTCTGTGTGCAGCTGAACCAGTGAAGGTGGAGAGCTCTGTCCCCCTCATTGAGGAGTTTGACAGTGACGCAGCACCGGATAACAAAGAGCTAAGGAAACAGCTCTGTCCGTATGCCGCTGTCGGAGAGTGTCGCTACGGAATCAATTGTGCCTATCTCCACGGCGACGTGTGTGACATGTGCGGCCTCCAGGTGCTCCACCCCACTGACAACAACCAGCGCTCAGACCACACTAAGGTAAGGGTTACAGAAACAACTTGCTGGGGGCACATTAACCATGCTGCATTCACTGTCACACTGGCTGGAATTTAAAACAGAAATCCAAGAAATTGATACATTTCTTTTTTTAGTCCTTCTTACTGTACCAGTTGTATTTTTTCAATGTATTCATTCTTTCTGCTTTGCGGATCTGTAGAATATCTACCTATCTGTTATGCACACCATTTTCCCCTTATTTTCCATAAATATGTCACCCTTTTTACATATGAGAGTTAACACTTGGAGTTAACGACAGGCCAGACTTCAGATTTGTTGTTGTGGTAACTTTTCTGTAGGGCAGCTGCAATTTGAAGTGCCAGCAGACTGTGCAACTCCTAAAACCGATGTGTCAGAACTCAGGCACTTGCACAGTTGCAACCTTAATTTTCACTCTCATATGCAGCACTAAAGGAGAGCAGCACTGCAACACTGGCAGGCCGTGGTGGACAGAACACAGTACAATACAGTAAAAAAGGATCAGCACGTCTCTAGCTGCCACACATTATTTTTAGTTTGATAATTTGGTGGCATGATTATCTGCTTAGCCTGACTCAGTTTACTGTTCGACAGAATGTTGATGTGAATACTGAATTTGGTCAGATCATTACAGGCCTTGTATTCTCTCAGCTTTATGCTGCCTTTCCTCTGATACATTACAGGATGCCCACAGTTGATTGGAACCCTGGTTAAATGCGGAAATGGTTGTGGTGTGTTGGTCAAACTGTTCCCTCTCCCTAGGCATGCATCGAAGCCCACGAGAAAGACATGGAGATTTCATTCGCAATCCAACGCAGCAAGGACATGATGTGTGGCGTGTGTATGGAAGTGGTGTTCGAGAAGGCCAACCCGAGCGAGCGCCGTTTCGGCATCCTCTCCAACTGCAGCCACTGCTACTGTCTAAAGTGCATCCGCAAGTGGAGGAGTGCCAAGCAGTTTGAGAGCAAAATCATCAAGTGAGTCACTTATTGCCAAGTCGGTTTTAACATAGAAGGAATTGGCCTTGGTATCTTGGTGCATAACAATGAGCATAGAAAAATATAAATGGAGATAATAAAGAGAGACAATATATACAAATATAAAAAGAGACATATACAGTGCTGTGAAAAAGTATTTGCCCTTTTCCTGATTTCTTATTTTTTTGCATATTTGTCACACTTAAATGTTTCAGATCATCAAACAAATTTAATATTAGCCAAAGACAACTCAAGTAAATACAAAATGCTGTTTTTTATATGATGATTTCATTTATTAAGAGAAAAAATCATCCAAATCTACCTGGCCCTATGTGAAAAAGTAATTGCCCCTAAACCTAAAAACCGGTTGTGCCACCCTCGGCAGTAACAACTGCAATCAAGCATTTGCGAATACTGGCAATGCGTCTTTCCCATCGCTATGGAGGAATTTTGGCCCACTCTTCTCTGCAGTTGTTTTAATTCAGCCACATTGGAGGGTTTTTGAACATGAACAGCCTATTTAAGGTCATGCCACAGCATCTCAATTGGATTTAAGTCCGGACTTTGACTAGGCCACTCCAAAACCTTCATTTAGTTTTTTTTAAGCCATTCAGAGGTGGACCTGCTGGTGTGTTTCGGATCATTGTCCTGCTGCATAACCGAAGTGTGCTTGAACTTAAAGTCACAAACTGATGGTTGGACATTCTCCTTCAGGATTTTCTGGTAGAGAGCAGAATTCATGGTTCCATTAATTACGGCAAGTCTTCCGGGTCCTGAAGCAGCAAATAGCCCCAGAACATCACACTACCACCACCATGTTTGACTGTTGGTATGATGTTCTTTCTATGAAATGCTGCATTAGTTTTACAGCAGATGTAACGGGATGCACACCTTCCAAAAAGTTCAACTTTTCTCGTCAGTCCAGAATATTGTCTTGGGGATCATCGAGATGTTTTTGTGAGCAAGTCTTTGTGTTCTTTTTGGTCAGCAGTGGTTTTTGCCTTGGAGCTCTCCCAAGGATGCCATTTTTGCCCAGTCTTTCTTATTGTTAAGTCATGAACACTGACCTTAACTGAGGCAAATGAGGCCTGCAGTTCTTTAGATGTTGTTCTTGGTTCTTTTGTGACCTCCTGGATCAGTTGTCGATGCACTCTTGGAGTAATTTTGGTAGGCAGGCCACCCCTGGGAAGGTTCACCACTGTTCCAAGTTTTCTCCATTTGTGGATAACGGCTCTCACTGTGGTTCGCTGGAGTCCCAAAGCCTTAGAAATGGCTTTGTAACCCTTTCCAAACTGATAGTCAATGATTCTGTTTCTCATGTGTTCTGAAATTTCTTTACATCGAGGCATGATGTGTTGCTTTTTGAGATCTTTTTAGCCTACTTCACTTAGGGCGGCTGTGGCTCAGAGGCAGAGCAGGTCGTTCCTAAATCGGAAGGTTGTGGGTTCGATCCCCAGCCCCTGGTGCCACATGTTGAAGTATCCTTGAGCAAGATACTGAACCCCAAATTGCTTCCGATGCCGTGCATCGGTGTATGAATGTTAGTTTCTGTTCGATGGACTTTGCCATCACTGAGTGAATGTGTGTGAAAGGGTGAATGTGGTCGGAAGACTAGAAAGGCGCTATACAAGTACAGGTCCATTTACCATTTGTCAGACAGGTTCTATTTAAGTGATTTCTTGATTCAACATGTCTAGCAGTAATCAGGCCTGGTTGTGGCTAGTGAAATTGAACTCAGCTTTCCAAAAAATGTGGTTAATCACAGTTAATTCATGATTTAACAAGGATGGGGCAATTACTTTTTCACATAGGTCCAGGTAGGTTTGTATAGCTTTTTTCCCTTAATAAATGAAATCATCATTTAAAAACTGCATTTTGTATTTACTCGAGTTGTCTTTGTCTAATATTAAAATTGCTTTGACGATCTGAAACATTTAAGTGTGACAAATATGCAAACACATAAAAAAATCAGTAAGGGGGCAAATACTTTTTCACAGCACTGTATGTACAATATGACCATTATTTAAATAAAACCTGTGGCTGGGATTTGGGAAGTTCTTCCCTGGAAAACCTACGTTTGTTTTTTATGCTCCATCGCTCTAAGGTTAAATGGTAAATGATTTTGATTATTGTCAAATGTTTTTTAATCAAGTAAAGTGTTGTTGTGTTATATCCTGTAGAACATCAAAACTAATGACCAAAAAAGTTGTGTGGTCTAAATGACAGAGTGTAAAAACTAAAAGGTATTTTCATTTACAGCTAGTTGACAGAAACAAAACACAACTGAGAAACTTTAACTAGCAAATGTCTAATATGTGCTCTCACTTAATGTTTTATTTAAACAACAGGGTTCCTAAGCTGTATAGAAAAATGTGCTATTTGATTTTGGTTTCCAGGTCTGAATTAAGGTCTGAAATAGAAATAGTCGTTATTCCAGAATATCGCCCCTATTCTGTTTTCTAAAATATAAAATGAGTTATTCAGTAAAGTCAGTTATCAGAAAAGTAAGCATATCTTTTCTGAGTTCGGTCTACACCTGCTCTATTTGAAAAGTGTCCTGAGATAACTTCTGTTATGAATTGGCGCTATACAAATAAAATTGAATTGAATTGAATTGAATTGAATTGAATTGAAACCTTTATGGCTGAGTTTATTGGCATTTCCATGGATACATTGAATACACACGGCTGCACAGATTGGGTTTGGTGAGGAGATGGTCATTTATTAGTTTGAGCTACAACCTTCTGGCAGTTATTTGTCCAAATGGTAGCATACATAGTCAGAATGTAAAAGACATGTTAACAGTAGGATTGTAAAGTCAGTTATTTACATAATAAACAGCTAGCATTGTGACATTTGAGTCTGCAAAAGTATAGAATTTAGAAAATGTGTAGGAACCCTGAAACAAAATCTAATTTGCCATTGATTAATTTTCAGTCAATAACCCAATCAAGATCCATAAATGGACTAATCATTTCAACACTTCCAGAAGTAAAGCTTGTTACATCGGTTGTATTGAGCTGATGATATCCAGTGATGATGTTCAGAGTATATCTGAAAAACTCAGGAACAAATATGAATGGTTAAAAAAAAGAAATGTAAGCAGAAATTATGTTCAGAGCACAGAAAAGCAGAAAATTGCTGAACTCAGCACTCAGTTCCCACACTGATATTTATTTAAATAATCTCCAGGGTCTTAAAAAGTCTTCAATATGATTTTGACAATATGATTAATAATTGATTGGATTGATAAAGTTAACATTACTTGTGTAACCTTTTTTAGTCTTGCTTTTAATGTGTTTTTACTAGGGATGTCAGATAATATCGGCCCTCCGATATTATCGGCCGATATTCACCAAAAAAATTTAATATCGGGAATTATCGGTATAATCGGTATATTATAACCGATGTTTGTTCTGTAGGCTTCAGCATTTCCGAGCTTGCATGAACGCAGCATGGGACGTTTACCGGCGTGCGCTAGATGACGTATAGCAACAACAACTACACACTAGACTGGTTGGTTGCTAACCGTGGCTAACAAGCAAACAATTTAAAGCTGAATGATTTTAATATTAACACAAAATAAGTGCAATGCACCTTAAATATTTGACCCTGCTATGAGCTGTTCCTTAACCAAACTAACAATTGGCTTAGAATTTACATTAGCACTCCTTCAGGTGCATAATACAATTAAACACATTAACCAAAGCAAGTGCTTAGCTAGCGATTAGCGCGTAGCTAGCGATTAGTGTGAGCGCTCTTTTCAGTATTAATACAATGAAAGTTGAAGTTGTTCTCTTATTTTGCACAGACAGTGTTTACATTTGGAAAGCCATGTTGCATTTATGTATGCATCCAGTGGGGCATCACAATAAAATGAGGCATAATGTGTTAATTACACAATAGGAGATATGTTTTGTTGTTACCTAACAGTTTTGGTGTAAAAAGCCTGCCTATATCGGTATCGAGTGATATCGGTATCGGAAATTGAGAGTTGGACAATATCGGAATATCGGATATCGGCAGAAAAGCCAATATCAAGCATCCCTAGTTTTTACTAATTTTCATTCATATCCTTATTGCCATAATGGTCTTAATCTTTTAAAGGTTTTTAAAGATATTTTTTTCACAAAACCACTGGCTTAGAAACAACCATGTAGGGGGAATGTATGAGCTCAATTAGGGTCAATTAGACCCTTATTTCAGAGAATGCTTTCTGATAAAGAAAATGTTGACAGCCATTTGCAACATATTGCAAATGATAAATGTGGTCAGGATGCCACACCGGCCCAACCCCAGTGACCACACAGCTCATCTTTAACCATACTCGTACTGACTCTGATGTTCTTGGACTCTTTCTACCACTTGTTTTGTTTTTTGTGCAGGTCTTGCCCAGAGTGTCGAATCACATCTAACTTTGTCATCCCAAGCGAGTACTGGGTCGAAGATAAGGACGACAAGCAGAAACTCATCCAGAAATACAAGGACGGCATGGGGTACATTTCCTCTACTGAGGGACCTCAGAGGATACACATCCATACACTCACTACACAAACCTTAAACAATAAGAGCATCACTACTGCAGTGACCCCTCATTTCTACCGTCTGGTTTGTATCTACAACAAATCAAAGAAACCGGGACACAATCCAGAAGTATCCTGCATCTTGTAGTTTTCACTAAAGTCGAACCTGATTTTTCTTTTTGTTGTAATGAGTAAATGAGTGGTGCATTCTGAAGCAAGTTGGAGTCTCTGACTGAGCAAGTTGCTCACTCAGTCTGAGATAATGTATCAAGACAGTGCTTATCAACTGTCTTGGTTAACCAGGTTTATTAGGGTCTGTGCACATTTCCATTAAAACGGCGTTTGGTGCGTCATTTTACACATATTCCGCATAAAATGGACCAATCGTGTGACGCCTACTTCAGTCAAGAGGAACAGGATGTTTTAATGGAGAGCTATAAAAAATATAAGAGAATTATTACAGCAAAAAGCAACACTGTTGCTGCAAATAAGGCAAAAGAGGAATGCCGGCAGAAAACTGCTAACTGTAAATTAATATATATTATTAATAATATACAGAAAGTTCATTCTTTTATATTGTTTTTTTATCATTATTTATATTGTGTATTACTAACGTGACAACTGCACGTTAGCCACTGTCACATAATGTAGGATACATGGAAATCACTCTAGTTTTTCCGCAAATCGGAGTGAGAGTTTTATTGATTGAATACTATCTGTGATAAATACTAATAGACTAAGCTGTTTTCCAATCTGTGCTTATTAGCTGCAATACCAGCAGGGTAAAACAGACTTGGCAGCCAAACAGGACCAAACCTATAAACATCATCCTGTGCTGTGCCTGCATTATTCTATTAGTGTGTGGAGGATGAGCTGTGTAACATTTGAATGTTACTATTCAATTTATTACTATTAATATTAAGTAAACCTGCATCACCAACTCAATGTGTGTAGGTTCCCGTGGCAATGCCATGCATATAGTTTGCACTACTGTAATTAAGCAGCTTCTTTCTGCTACATTACTAACATATGGCTCAACAACTTTCTGAATATAACATGTTCCCTCAGCTGAGAATCTATAACAATCATAGAGAGTATCATCATGAAAATAATTAAATCCCAAACTGATCATAACCTCCTCCAGAGCAGGTTAGGTGTGCAGCCTAAGTAACCATGGCGATCTAGCCAGGTTAAAAGAAGAACTTCATGACAGTGAAAACTCTAGGCTCAACATACTGTACCTTACTAACCCATTAATCTCTTCTTGGTATCCCCCTCTGGTCTTCTTAAGGTGCTTTATTAACAGTTGAGTACCAGCAATTAAAAGTTCATTATTTTCTCTGCAGGATGGAGTTTTGAATAGAAAGCTGTGGAGCTAGTGGATGGGATCAGAGTGGGATGGTGAATCTGCATGAGTGGGTGGTAATGGTGGGAAACTCTGCAGGGAGTGGGCGGATGCAAGACTGAGAAAAACAGTCCAGTGCAGACTTCAACTATGAAACATTTTATTTAATTAACAAAAGGCTCCACCGAGAAAACATCCATCACCCAAAGATCGATCAGTTTTAGTGCTCTGAATCACTGACACAGTCTGACTTGCTGTGTGTAATCTCTGGTTTGTCTTCTCCAGGAGTAAACCATGTCGATACTTTGACGAGGGTCGTGGAACCTGCCCCTTTGGCTCAAATTGCTTTTACAAGCACGCCTTTCCTGACGGACGGCTGGAGGAAGCTCAGCCCCAGCGAAGACAGACTGGATCCAACAGCAGGAACCGGGTAATATCACACACACTTATCTCAGCAGCAGTTACTAAAAATACATTAGTACAACCAACATTGTCACAGTTTGTACTGTCAACATAGTTTCATGACTTTCAATAGTTTTCAAAGGCTGCTAGTCTAATAACAACAGTAGCAACACCTCCTCAACTGTAGTGCCCTCTGCTGGAATTGGAAAGTTAATTAGAAACACCTCTGAGGTGTAACTCTACAATACAATATTACATTGCTTTAAATGCTCTCTATTAGCAAATTGTTTGTGTGTTGACATTAAGAAATCAGAATCAGAATTATGTTTATTGCCAAGTAGGTTTTTACACCTACGAGGAATGTGACCTGTTGCATTGGTGCATAAAATATACAAATATACACCTCAAAAATGACCTGCCAATTAACCACCAATTAGAATATATAAAGGTACATGTGTCACCTGACGGTTGAAATTGCATTAAAAAACTTGAATAAAAACAAAAACATTTCAATCATTACATGAGTAGTGCATAAACTAGTTAACATAAGTTACAACTTTCTGATGTGTGAAAATAAAGTAAAAAGTGATTACCTTAATTTCCGGACTATTGAGCGCACCTGAATATAAGCCACACCAACTAAATTTAAGAAGGAAAAAAAAATTGTACATATATAGGCCGCACTGGTCTATAAGCCGCAGGTGTCCATGTTGTAACATGAGATATTTACAAAGAAAGATTTTTTAAATTTTTTATTAAATAAATGCTGCCGTCTCCAACGTCTCACCATCGATTCGTTGATGCCAAGCTTACGTGCAGCAGCTCTTCTTCGACAGCCAGATCGATTGCTTTTAACTTAAAAGCTGCATCATGTGCATTTCTTCTTGTGTTTTCCATGATGAAGGTGTGTACATGATGCGCAAAATGACTGAATGAATTGAATGAATTCAAACTGAATGAATTCAAAACACAATCAAACTAGCGTCTTCCTTGGCGCATTATCTCTTCCACCTGTCTGTCTCGCTCTTGCGCTTCCTGCTAGAGCGCCCCCTGGAGGACGTTAGCCCGTAAAAATGTATAGATTAGCCGCATCATTGTTTAAGCCGCAGGGTTCAAAGCATATGGAAAAAGTAGCGGCTTATAGTCCGGAAATTACAGTAGCATTAATCATATTACACAGGGGTTTCTGTCTGTCTGCTCACTCAGTGGTGGTTCCATTTGTTAAATGAAATTAGGACATACCTGGGAAAACTTCAATGATAAATGTGAACAGATGTGTGATGTATGATGGGAGATTTTCACTTGCCACTAGATGTCAGACTTAATACCAGAATCTCAGACCAAAACAATAGGCGCTACAGCTGACCAGACTCCATTGACAAAACCAGGCATTTTATGTAGCAGGTAATTGTAAAATATACTTCAAACTGGACAGAAACACACATCACCAAAAACCCGTCTGTCTTTCCACTGTTCCAACAATCCCCAACTATGAGTTGGTCATATAAATACTTTGTTTACCAAGATAGATAAGAAAATAGAGAACGCAGCGCAGTACAGTGGCTGCCATGTAATGTTAGGTAATGTTTGGTGACAAATGCGGCAGATAGGTACTCCTAAAAGTGTTTGTTTTTGCCACTGACAGGCTCAAAGCGTCTGACAACATTATGGAAAGGATCCTTAAAGAGAGAGACCTTTTGGTTAACCAGAAACAGCTATAATATTATATTATAATATAATGTTATTATCACTGCCCACCAGACTCATAGACAAAAAACTATTACCTTGTGTAATATTCTGACTTCATTCAAAGTGGACAGAAACAAAATAAAAAAGTCACCAAAACAGTCAAAAGTTAGTCTTTCACTGTTGTCCAACAATAACCAACTCTGGTTTGGTTGAAATAAATTCCTAATTCATCAACATAGATGATAAAAACAGCCGTTTCAGTCGCTCTACTGTGCTGCACACGGAGCAGACAGGCCATGTACACAAACCACAGAGAGGCTGTGATAGCAATACAGGCAGTGGGAGTGTGACATCATTCTGGCATTTGGCATCATTTTGAGGTAGGAAGTCAAAATTATTAATCTCATAATCCTGATTTAATAAATGAGAATTCTGAATTAGTACCATAAATCTGTGAGAACCTAATTGTTGTCATTCCTAACATTGAATTATTTGCTGGCAGAAATGGGTTTATGTAGACGAGGATTGATAACAGCTGCATCAGATTAAGTTATTATCCCCAGAATAGATTCTTGTTTGAAAATAAAACTCTCTCCCCTTCCCGCTCCAGAACTCGAGGCGGACGCCACTGTGGGACATCTTCGACGAGCGGGAAAGCACCGATTCCTTTGACAACGAGGACGAGGAGATGGTGACGTTTGAGCTGAGCGAGATGCTCCTCATGCTGCTTGCGGCAGGAACCGATGATGAGGTGACAGATTCAGAGGATGAATGGGACTTGTTTCACGAGGAGCTGGACGATTTCTATGAGATTTACCTATAGCAGCTCCCACGACTAACCCTGCCCCACCCCCTCCTCCTCCATATGTATACTAGACACTAGAATGGACTGTCTTGTGCGAGTGATGGACAGTAGCTTTTCCCCCACCCCCTGTATTGTGGCAGTGCCTTTAAGCAGGCCATTAATAAATGAACTCATAAAAGATTAAAAAAAAGATAAAAAATCCAACAAGTCAGTGCGCTCGTGCTAAACATTTTCTAGACATCTATCCTCGTGAGTCTATCTTGTGCAGTTCATGTTAAGAGGTAAAATAATAAAATGACAAAAAGAACTCAATATAAGATTTAACAAAAATTATAACTTTCTTCAAATATTGCTAATAAACATTGTCAGGTTTATTTGTGGGTGTGGGTTTGACTTGTTTATCATCTACCCAGGTGTTAATATGTATTTCTGAGACTCTGAGGATGCACTCGAACTTACTCAGCACCATTTACTGTAACCGTGATGGGCATGTTGTAAGATTTTACTTGCGGTTTTTGAAGGCCGGACCTTTTTTTTTCTTTATTAAAGCTGATGATAGCCATTATATTGTGCTGATGATTAATACATTTACCATAATCATTTTCATATTGTACTGCAAAGTATTTAATGTGTCCCCTAGAAATCTTTACTAGCTTTTTTCAGGGTTGAATGAATTTGGATCATAATTGAACGCAAGCTCTTAGGGTTGGTGGCAATTTAAAGCAAGGTGACCACTAGCCCTGATCCTTGATGGCCATCTTTGCAACTCAAACATTTTAGGCACCCAGGGGTTCATAACATTTGGTACAGAAATAATGTAAAAAGCCATATCTAATACCATGGGATTTAAACTGATCTTGAGCACACTAATTTGAGCCTACAAAATGCTGCTCAGTGCTGCCAACTGACTTTTCCCGCCTCTTATTCCTCTGTGCTCCAATAACAGTTCCAACAGTTGAACTGAACAGTTCCTCGGTCAGAACCTCAGTCAGTTTTCTCCTTTCCTGTACTTAATTATGCTATGTGCTAGACTCTGTGTTGAAAAGACAACCACATTTTGACCATGGTTAACTTAAGATGTGATTTTTATATATATATATATATATATATATATATATATATATATAAAAGTCACCTTTTATCTTTTTAACCAACATCAAAATGTGATTGTCTCATCAACATAGATGAGCTTGTACAGGAAAGGAGGAAGTTGACCAAGGCTTGCTAAACTGTTATTAGAGCACAAAGCAAAAAGGGCTTAAAGTCTTAGGAAGGGTTAGCTGTGGCTGAACTGATATTATAGCAATACTACTGAACATAATTCCTATAACTTCCAGCCACCAGGGCAGCACTGCAGTCAGTGAGACATTTTATGAATTGCTCAGTGACTGAAGTGTCTGGGTTACAGAGATGGTGAGTTAGGGCTCTGATGATAGACTGTATAGAAGTGGACGTAGCCTCCGGGGCAAAATTTGCATCCCAATTAATATCACAGTCAAAATGGCTGATAGCTTTAGTGTTAGCTATGTTAATGGTACCTGGCCCGGCCAGGTTTAAAGCATCTTTCACGATAAACTAGTTTCTCTCCATCCCCACGACTCATCCAAATATATGGTCACTTCTGGCTCCAAAAACAACAAAGATGGCGACGAAAATGCCAAACTGGATGTGTCCACTTTTTTCATACAGTCTGTGGCCCTGATACCATGTAGGACAGGTCCTGGATCAGCACTAGGGATAAACCTGCTAATTGGCTATAGGCTAAATGACCCCCAACCTTCCTCTTTTACCCCCTCTCTCACATGCACCTGTGCACCTATTGAAGCAGTCTGAGAAACATACTTCCTTTGAATTAAGTTACTGTGCAGTTGAAGCTTCCTAAGTCCTGCCCCTTCTTGGTCTGTGTTCCAGTAACAGTTGAGGAAGGCTTGGTCAGAACTTCTCTACTTAGATATGCTATGTGCTCGTCTATGTTGAAAAAAGGGCACATTTTGAAGATGGTTAAAAGATAAAAGTGACATATTAGCTAATGTTAGCAAAATGCTAGCTAGGTTCTGACCGAGGTTTGAGCAAAAAGAGGCGGGATTTAGGAAGGGTCAATTAAGGTTAAGAGCCATGTCCGGTTTTCCAGATACTTTGTCTTTCTGTGATCTATCTATCTAAATATCTAACTTCTTGTAGTTTTGCATAAAAATCCAATTATACATCAGTAAACTGCTACTTCAGTCAAATGGACAAAATAAAAATCTTTTTCCCCTTCCACCATCCTGAATCTCAGCATCAGGAACACCTGCGGTACCAAAAGGCAAGCCCTTCCTCTAAACCAGGTTTCAGAGTCGACATTTGTGATTAAAAACTCTTCAGCAGACCTGCAGTGCAGAGAATCGTGGAGCAGAGACTTTTTTTTTTATTTCCCACAACACCCGTATGAAGTGTAGATTCACTGTTCTGTCGGCTTAACTGAGTAATGCATATTAAGCTTTGCTGCTGAGATATTCATCCACAGACTTCTGATAGCTGGTCTCAACCTGTTGAACTCCATTGGAATGCATATGTTTATACTGAAATGTGTGTTTTCTATGTTCACAGCCATCCATCTTAACTTGAAATTAAAGTTTATTATCAATCTCTGCTCTGTCTGGACTCTAAATCTTTATGCTTGTCTTGTCTGCTTGAAAACAACCAGTCAGAGCTGAGAAAGATAGAAAGATGCTGGTTGTTGAGTCTCATTCCCAGGGACCTTAAGTGTATCTATTTGACTCCCTGGGAATGAGACCGGACAATCAACTATTTTTCTCGGCTCTGATTGGTTGTTGGATGGATTCTTGCAAATACCATTAGGAGCACTAGGAGGAGCCAGAGGAACCTGATTTTTCACAGATTATCCGTCACATGTAATACTTTCAGGTATAGTGAAAGTTTCAACAAATATGCCACAGTTATTTTTATAAATATTCTCAACTGCAGCTTCAATTGTGGCGATTGCAACTTCCTGGAGGGACTGACTAGTAAAGCACTAGCTGCTCTACAGCAAACAGCAGACAGGCCCAGTTAGAGACTAGCTGGTATACATAGTGGAGTGTTTAAATAAAGTAATAAGTAAAGTAAGTAAAAGGTTTAACAGTTTTGCTGGGGGAGCCCTTGCAACTCCCTCGAGGACCCTTGGTCGTCCCCGAACCCTATGTTGAGAACCACTGAATTAGTGGGTACTTAAATGTATTTATATTTTAGGCCATATGTTTGTTATAATTCTGCCAGTGAACAGTATATTTAACTGGAGCATTATTGTCTTTACATTACAAATACCAACAGTAACGCTTTAATAGCTCTGAGGGGAAACAAAGCAGCACTTTGGAGCTAGACTAGATAATATGGAATGAATGAACATCCTGAAGAAAAGTGAAGCAGCTGCACTGTATAACAGCATAACTACTCAATAAAATGAAGGCAAGAAATTACAAGCAATATTATTAATGAAGTAAATCTATGTTTGTTATTGAGTTAACATCAATGAAGTGATAGCCTTTATATGTAGGGTGCTATATGCTATATATTCAATATGAGTAGATTGAAATAGAAAGAAAAAAGGAATTAAATAACATATAAACAATGATACTGATTTGATCTGAATTGATCTACATATCAAATAAATATATCATTGAGTAATAATGCTACAGTATTATAAATGTATTCAATGCACTCAATTAACTATAAATAGTCCATTCCATCTCAGTCCATACCTTCCTTTGCGCATGACTGTCTCTCTCTACCTTTAAAAGCATCAGGAAGGAAGAAAGGGGAAGAAAGGGAGGCGACCGCACAAATACAATGATCTCAGAAACTGGGAACGACAATCCGAAGGCCGACTATCTCCGATCCCAAGCGAGCTACTGCCCAGACTCCCCCGTCTCCTCTTCTCCGGATTCTGGGCAGCTGAGCAGGAGGCGGGACACCCAGACCACCAGCGGCAGCATCATCCCGGAGGAGAGCGGCAGCATCCAGCCCCTGGTCTCCTCCTCAGCCGCGGCCGCCGCCTGCATCATGACATCGGGGGAGTTCATCCAGAGCGCTCCGCTGCTGGCGCACAAATCCAAGCGGAGTGTGCTCTACAAGGCTCTCTGCTTCCTCCTCCTCATCTTCCAGGGCGGCATTCTGGACTTCTACCTCATCATCTTCACCGACCTGTACTGGTGCTCCTGGATAGCCACGGACCTGGTGGTGATCTCGGGCTGGGGGATTTTCTTCATGAAGAACGCGCGGAGCAAGAGGGAGCGGGCCTGCGGCTTCCACCAGAAGAGCTCCATCTTCGGCTGCAACCTCGGGGAGTTCACCTACGCCTACCTGGCCTGGCTCATCTATGTCATCGCCTGTACTCCGAAGGTGGTGCTCATCCTGGAGACCTCCATCCTGGACCTGATCGCGCTCAAGGTCCCGTGCGGAGTGACCGGCTTCAAGATCATCATGCTGCTGTCCGCGCCGCTGCTCTTCTGCCTCATCAACTCCATCATCGAGGACCTGAACGGTGCGACGCGGCACCGCTCCCAGAGCTGCTTCATGAGCACCTGCCTGGACCTGCTGGACAGCTTCACGCTGGTAGAGATGCTGCTCCGGAACGAGATCCCCGTCGTCTACTTGAAGTATACCGTGATCTCGGTGTATTTCGTTGCCCTGGCCGTGCCGGTGATCTGGCTCTACGAGCTGACGGCGTCCGAGCTGCGCTGCCGGTGGCTGTGGGCCCGCTTCTCCACCGGCCTGGTGGTCAACGCACCCCTGCTGGTGGTCAGGTGCTTCCAGGTCTACGTCTACAAGATGCCGGTGTCGGTGTTCATGTTCAAAAACATCTTCTTCCTGGTGTGTAAGCTCCTGGAGCTGGTGGAGCAGTGCGCGGCGGTGCAGGGGGTCCGGAGGCTGGCCGGCGGTAGCAACCCGGCCCAGTTCTCCCACTGCGTGTCCGAGAACGACATGTGTCCGCACGGGTACGTCAACACCCTGGCCGTCACCCAGTCTTAAGAGCCCGGGCTGAGGGCCCAGGGTGCTCGAGAGCCGTCTGCCTGTGGCGAAGTCGTGGTGCGTTCCAGACACAGCTGGAAAATGGAAAATCCCAGTTATATCCGAATTACAACCAACTATTGGGAGCATAAAGACTAGTTTTTTGGTTGAGTAGGCTACTCGTTAAAATGTACTTGTTCCAAATAATTTTTCCACATTATCTAAATCAAATTAGACCCTTAATCTTGCAATAGTGCATTTAATTAAGTGCTGGTAATATGTCAACTGAATTACTTTTTAGAGTGTAACTATGGCTAAATAATGCTCCAAAGTTGGGCTAAAGTTTGGCATGGTCGTTTTCAATTAGATTCCTTGACCTCTGACCTCAAAATATCTGAATGAAAATGCGTTCTAAGGGTTTTGCATGTGGTATAAATGTGTTATTTTCTATATACTGGGGTCCATAAACATTGGTGGAATTGCATAAAATGGGCATGAATGGAAAGCTGACACATACACATACCTGCATAAGTCAGGGCCACTTGTGCAACCCCAGTCAGAATAGTCTGAAAATGCCACTAAACAGACACAAATTAGACCACAGATATTTTTGTCCTAGGGTCCTCCATCTGATAGGCATTTTTTTTTTCTTTGAGAGGTTTTATCACAGAAAGTGTATGCAACCCATAACCTAAATATGGAACTACAGTAGAAATAAATGATTCCCCTTTTTGCTGCAGAACCCCTGGAACCCTCTCAAGGACACCTGGGGACACCACTTTAAGGATACAAACTGAAACTCATTAAACAAATAGGCTACAATTAAATGTGCTGTAACTGCACTGAGGTTAATATGATGTGATGCAAAAACAAAAATATATAGATTCATCATTAAAGGCTTAAACCGTTTCTAAAGCAGTGTGACTGTGTAGGTGTTTACATCGTGTGTTGCTACATTAGATTGACGTCAGATAACTGCATCTCTGATAGCTTTGAGCTCACTAACCCCTCTAAGCTTTATATTTCTTACTTTCGGGGCCAATGGCATTTTATATAACTGGAGAATTTCACATTTTTGGACATGTCTGGAACGCATCATGGGTATCAGCCTTACAACGCTCCTTCTTCAGACCAGTCTACAGGTGCTACAGTCAAACCCAATACCTGCAATAGCCCAAAACACATGGAGAACCAACACAGGACCTTGTGGAGTTGTGTGTGTGTTCAGTCTGTGAGTGTATTCACCACACTTGGTTGGGAGACAGAGAGACCAGACTGTGTGTTATGTTGGGACGCAAAGTGCAATTTGAAGAATCCTCTAATCTGACTCAGAGCTCCATCCTTGTACATCAGTGTTTTCTATTGATGCCAGTGTCGTATGCGGGTCCATGCTGGTTCTAACACTGAGAGTAGAGTAGACAGGGGTGTGTACGTTAATGCCATGAATCCAACAGTGCCATGACAAACAGGTTTTCTACAGCCTTTTTCAAATAGAACCCTGGACAACAGGAGCTTCTGTTGGTCGCTGGCTGTGCCACTGTTTTACTACTTCTGTCACTTTTTGGATCTCGAGTCCTCAAAGATCACTGGCTACTGGTCACTCTTACATCTGTTTTTAAGCGTCTCTGGGTCACCCAAGGGCCCAGCTCTCAATTTTTCCAAAAAACACCCATTTATTCATTCACCTGCCTGCAGTATTTCTTCTTTGCTAAAAAGGTCACATGCACCAAGTATACAGAAGATCAGAGCAGACTCTGAAAAAGGTAGTTTTCAACACACCTGTGAGTCAAGTGTGAGACTGTAGGTATTTTGGTTTCTTTCTTAGTACTTTATAACAAATTGAATCCCATTTCTCTTGAGAAAATCAATTTAAAACCTCTTTTCGCTATGTCATGACAAAATAAGTAATGGCAGTCTCTTACCAAGCCAAATCAATTATGAGATAGGAAGTCCAAGTCACAACCTTGACCTGAAAGTCATAACTTTTACATAAAGCTGCACTAATCAATATTTTTATATTAAGAATAGATCAGATGGCTATGTGTAATCTAATGTTTCTGATCTGGAGGAACCCACAAAGACTCCAACTCTGCAGTTCCTCTCACCTCTACCAGGATCTTTAGCTTCTTTTAGCCCACAACTCCAAATGACTGATGCTCTTTCTGCTGAATGTGTAACCACATTCACAATACCTAGTCCCTCCAAGATTTCGTGGGCTTTTTGGGGGATTGTTTCGGCCTCAAATGCCTGATTTTATGGCAGCTTTTCTAAAGATTGTGATGGATGTTGTTTTTAAGCATTTCTTTTTTAGATAAATCATTAAAATCAAAGGCATCTTGTTCTTGAGAATGAGTGAGAATAAAAGTAGTTTGGTGACATATGGCTCAACGTTTTGGGACTGCTATGAAACTCAAGGGAAACTACAATGATGGGTCAAATTTGCCAATAAGTTGTGGTGATTGGACAAAACTTTGCACAAAATTCACAGGGATTGGTTGAATTTGTGTTAATTGTTTCTATCACAGCATAACATAATAATGAGCTCCTCTCTTCCTCTCTCTCTCTTTCTGCACTCATTCATGTCCCATTAATGCATGTTACTAACTTCACTTCTTCCCCGGAGTTCTTGTGCTTTCTCGTCTCGCAGGTTCTCATGGATCCTGGTGGAGCCTCCTGCCATGGTCCTGCTTGACTGCCATTGCTAATATCACTGATATTACTGTTATTATTATTATTAATATTATTATTACTACAGTTACTATTATTACTATTGTCACTGCTCATTGTCCCCCATCGTCGCTGTTGTCATTGTCATCGTCTTCTTCATGTTCATCATCATCAGTGGTTGTTGCTACTGTTGTTGCTGTGCACCTGTCTGTCTGTCTGTCTGTCTGTCTGTCTGTCTGTCTGTATAACAACTGACTGAATAACAACTCTGTAAGGTATTAAGATGTCAGTGTTTTCAGACGTGGCAGGTCAGAAAATATGATGTAATTTTATGGTCTAATGCATTGTTGAACTGGAAAACAATACTAATAGGGCTACCAGATCATCGGTGCTCATTTGGGTATTTTAGTGATTGATGACTTGGAGGAATTGTGGACAAGTGCTTGGTTCTTCCAGTCTTTATGCTAAGGTAGGCTAAACAGGTCTCAGACCTTGATGCACAGAGATGACACTAACTTCGACCTTAGACAAACAGTCAAACATTTTGACTAAAGGAGTCTTTCTCTTCCATGAAGATGAATCACAAATTTAAACAAATAAATCCAACAGGCTGTGTTGAACTCAACCTTTTTCAGAGTGTTCATAGTAGTTTCCATACTGATGGATCACTGTATCCAGGTGCTGCTGGCAAACACAGCTGATTCGTCTTATCCACCAACGGGGATCCAGCTCCATTCCGGTTCCTGCAATGCTAGTAGTTTTGAACCATTCAGAGTATTTAGACCAAAAATAAATCAGTTCGGAACTCAAAATGTTGGCTTCCAGCTGGAACCAAAAAATAGCAGGTTTTCTTTGGGAACCAAAGTGGGCGTGTCATATTCTACAGGTTGATGACACATCCTTGAATATAGTGGTTCCGGTGGTGGAATTGGTGGAAATGTGGGCTGGCTCAAGAACCAGAACTATTTTGGGTCAGTGCATTATTTACAGCAGTACTTGCTGAACTGACGCTACAGTTTAGTTTGCATAGCACAGTGTCATGGCATGATCACCGTCCTCCCTGATGAGCTCTTCCATTAGCTTTTAGTAATGTGTGTAAAAATCATGGCTGATCATATTAGATAAGTACATGTGGCTGCAGATGATGTATAGTGACGATATTGTGCAAAATGGCTCTGAGGGGTCTGAACTGATTTTAGTGCCTATAATTTTGGAGCTGAATGAACTTACAGTTCATGAGGTGACTTTAATCATAGCAAGGGTATATGTGCAATTTGTTTGCGTCTATGTGAGCGATCAGTGAATGCAGGTTGGAGGTTGTGCCTTGTGAGCTGTGTCAGAGGGCTACTGAGGGGTCAAGTACAGTTTCAAGATTATACAAATCACAAATATGTTACATTATTTTTGACATTTTTGATTCGAACGAGTTCTGTTGTGTTTTACATGTTTTGCCTACCACCTAGGCATATAGTAGTTTATCGTTGTATAGTATGAGTTACGCTTGTGTAGCTGTGCATCTGTAAGTGCAGGTTGATTTGAAAAGTCTGCACTGTACACTGTATGGCCAATAGCGTGTGTGTTCTGTCAACATATGTATGTCTGTGTAATCTTGGGTCTATTTTTCCTGGTTTGGGTTTGGTCCCTTAGTTCCAGTGAAAGGACATCTCAGTGCTACAGTGTACAATGACATTTTAATGCAATGGTTTAATCCAACTTTGTGTCAACAGCTTGAGGAAAATCCAAATGATACAGGATATGGGAGACATTACATGTACACAGTACATTTTTGAGCTGGACTGATATGACTCTGCAATGGCACTCAGAAGGCTACTTTCTTAAACAAATAACTTTGTTAAAGAATTTAATTGTCAACCAATTCTAGCTGGCATTGCCGAGAGCTGCTTCTCCTCTCTTAAGTTGTGCTGCTTGCCACAGTATTGTAAATCACAGCGCTCTCTGTTGAATACATTTTGCACTACAATCTCAGATCATGCAGTTTGTTAAGAACATTTTAAAAAAGACCAACAGTGGTACAAAGTATGTGAGAATTGTATGTAAAAACCAACTGTCAAAAGTTATTTGACTCGTAAGTTATGCAGGTCAGCCTGGTCTCAGGCCAGTTCTGTGTGCTGAACACAGTGTGATGTAGAACCAACAGGGATAAACAGCTCAGTTTAAATCACTTTAAACTGAACTGAATTTAAAGGTATACTGTCAGGATGTTATAGCTGCCATTGGTATTCTAAAAACAACATATATTTGGAAATTTGGGTCCATTATTATAAACAAAATCAGTGAATTGTTTACTTCTAAGGGTCCTGACACACTACATTGAGTTTTGAGTCAAAGAATGACAGCTGTATTGCCTCATGCGGAAAACAAATAAATGACTCAATAAATTAATATGCCATTAAAGGCTCCAGTATATAATTTATAATAAATATTAGCATTAATTAAAATGTGTTTTCATTTTGCTTCTAAATTGTATATTCACATTCATCAATGTCCTCTTGATCTCTCTCTGGTCATCCACTGTCTGGAGCTCAGTGACCTTTGAACTCTCTCCACTGGATGCTGGGAGTGGTTTTGGTCTGTTGTTTATTCAGTCTCTTGTCCCTGTGATGTCATGATGATGATGATGTTATACTGTACACAATGCCAATCTTTCTCATTTTTCCACCTATAAACAAACTACTTGTTTTTACGTGAATAAAGTCCTGCACTTGTATCACATCATGACAACAGAGGTGTCTCCATGGTAACAGCTCTATGTGGTGATGTAGACCATGAGATGTGGTTGTGTGAAGTGAGTGAGTCAACATAAGTGCCATAATGAACTTTCATTTAAAAATTCAATAGAATCTAGGCTCAATAAATATTTCAAATTTCAAATGTTGGATTGACAGCGTGGTGCTGTTGGATTACAGATCCTAGAGCTGCTGCTATACACACAGTACATGTTGACTGCTTCAGTGGTTCTCTGCACTCTGTTCCTCATTGCACTGAGAACAGCTTCTGTTTGTGTATTGCTTATCATATCTTATGTATTTAGGATGTTATATTTTATACTACTTTGAATTATTTACTTGTGCCAGTGACCTTTGCTTATGTATCCTACGCTGTTGGAAAGGCTCTATAATCTTTATTTGGATTTGCACATGAAGCTTACCACACAGTTTAATCACAAGAAGACCATTTGTTTACATGAAACTGAAGTGAAGTGGGCCTTTAACCTGCATGAACCACACCAAGACTACCAAAGGCTTTCATGGACATAGATTCAAAAGGAGCTGATCATGCTACACAGATTCAAATGGTTTTTCTTCTTCAGCCTACATGCAATGAAACACTCTCCTGTCTTATACGGCTTTCCTTTTCTTCAAACTTGTTTACAGGGAAAGAACATGGCTGTTGTTTACAGATAGGATTCTACCTGTACTGTTAAGTTGTGTGGTGTATATCTGTACTGATATAATCCAATCTATGTACCGTAGATGTAAGACAGAGTATTATGTGGTTGAAACCTGAAATAAATCTGAGGAAAGTACTGTACAAAGTTGTGATTTATTATGGATTATTCTGTTACAACAGGAAAATGATTGACCCTGAAAGAAAGATGAGGTCGATGATTTAACAAAGACCTTCATTGTCAAAGAAAATTTAATCATTACACAAACACACTGATAAATGGGTTACCCTCATTCCCAGAATACTTTTACTGTTTGGTGGAGCTTTTGCCTTTTTCCCACATGAAAAAGAAAACACATGATCTCAAAATATTCCCCTTAGTGCACTTTAACAGCAGAAAAAACTTCAAATTCTTCACAAATTTCACTTTTTTTGTCAGTCCCTCCGCACCAAATAGTCTGCCTGTGTTGTTAAGACATGATAGTACAAGGATAGAAAAAGTATCACTCTGCCTGCCATGCTCATATTTCCTGAAACTTTCTCTATATCCTGACAGTAGAACACGAGACAGATAATCTGTGAAACAATCAGGTTCCTCTGGCTCCTCCTAGTGCTCCTAATGGTATTTGCAAGAATCCATCTATTGTGTATGTATTAATTAGTGGAAACCTAATAAGAAAAAAGGTATTTAGTAAAATGTACCATGTTAACACAATATTAAGTGAAACAATAAAAGCCTTAAAACTTTAAAAGATTTTCAACATTGTGTAAGAATGCAGGAGTTGCTTAGTTAATTTAAAAATCGAAATTGAAATTTAAGTAACACTAAATCAATTTTGTGAGTTAAAAACATTATTGATTAAACAGCTTTTACTAGTAATTTTAAGTGACAGACAACTATTTGTACTGTGAAAACAAAAAACGTAAAAAAGTACTTAATCAGGAATGTTTCTGTTCCTTACAAAACTAGTGAAAATCTAGTAATTAGTAAAGTCAGTGTCACTTAAAATGTCTAGTAAAAGCTGCTTAATCAAAAATGTTTTTATTTACTAAATTGAGTAAATTTTACTTAAAATATAATCTGTTAAGACAATTTCTTTCAAGTTGAAATATTTTACCGTATTACAGTGTATCATTTCAATGTGTTTTAATTTTTTCCAAATTGCGAGCCTGACTGTGCCTGTTTAGTAAACCGACCTGTTTGCATGATAGCAAACAGAACTGTCAACTTGTTACACTCCGTTTCCACCCAGATTCAACTCAGTGGAGTGGGCATATTTGAAGGTCTGGACCCAGACAACCTTCCTGAATGATGAACCAGAAGCAAATGTTTATACAGCTGCAGTTCATATTAGTGCAAATGAGTCCATCATTCTTCATTCTTCCATCCAAGAAGATCGACATCTCTCTTGAAATACGTCACAAATTTCCAAGAGTGTCATGCATTCAAACAGGATGTATTTTCATTGAATACACCACCACTTGGTTGCCACAATAAAGTTCACGACCCGCTCTGCCTCTGAGCCACAGCCGCCCCCACTGTTTCACTGTGTTAACCACATGTTAAAAGGGCTTTGTGGCAACCTGGTGCATCTCATACAGACATGTCTGTATTTGGTGATCTAGGAAAATGGGTTGGAAAAAACTTCTTCTTCTTTGTTCTTTAAAGGTATAATCACGTTGATTTTAATGATGAAAAAGATCAAAAGTCGCTATAAGCAAACAATTTACAGAACAGCCTCAGAAATTATTTTCAGAGCAAAGTTTTTGATCACAAGAGCAAGAGAACTATTTATATAATTTCTTTAATAAAAGTTACCATATTTACGAGTATGGAAATTGATACATTTAACTCGTTTGATACTCTTTTTACATCCTCCTACACTGAAAGGATGTCAAAGAGGTGATGTAAGTCAGTGAAGGTTTAGAACTTATTGCCGGGGGTGGACTATGTGAGCATTAGTTTCCTTCAGTATCTATATCAGAGTATCTAAGATACTTCTGAAACAGCTCCTCCTGCAGCCTTCTAAGAGCTGCCAGTGGATCCTCTTTGAAAGGGGGTTCATGCTGGGAGGACATTTTGGAGATGTAGCCTTGATCAGATCCACTGCTCTGACCCTTCCCACTGGGCTGCAGAACCTCATAGTCCTCCATCTCCACAGGCGGAGAATGGCTGATTTCAGATGGAGGGAAACATTCGCTCTGCATGGTGGCACACAGGGATTCTGGAGAGTATGAATCCAGGGAGTTCTGTGGGGCCCAAATTCTGTGGTCTGAATGAGTGGAGCATTGGCTCATAGGCAGTAGGGAATCCTCTTCATCATCCTCAGTGGGAATTTGACCCAATGGTTCTTCCTTGAGGTAGAGCCAGCTCTGTCTTGGTTGTGGTGGCTTGTTCTGAACAGGCTCAACTACGTAGACAGATTCTGGACTGGCGCTTTGAAGATACAGGTGATGTAATGTGAACACCTCATCCAGGTTTGACGGATACAGATGTTTGCCCTCAAGGTTCACAACTGGAGTAAGTTCTACCACTGACGACAGCTCGCGCTCAGTGTTCAGCTCAGGTGACAGGACGTGAACACTGTTGCAATTTTCGTTGATTTCTACCTCATGCATGCAAACAGGAAGTCCATCTCTGATTAGAGGAACGCACTCAAGGACTGGAGGAATCTGCAGCTGCTTAATGAGGACATTAGCCTCAGTCATGACCTCCTCCTCACTGTGCACACACTCCTTCTCAAACCAATCAGGATTGTCCAACTGGTAGGCCTGGAAGGTTTCGATGGCATTTTTCAAATCTCTACCTGGGGTACAGTTGAAATATTCATCCCCTCCAATGCCCTCGATGCGGTTGACCTGCCCTGGCTGATACTTCTCAATGTCTAGGATGCGAAAGTACAGTTCTTCAAAATGCTTCATCAACTTGTATTTGACTGCAATGTCAAAAACAGATGGCACGTCTTGATCGCTGCTGATTTCATCAAAGTAAGCCACCATGTACTTTCCCAGCTTGCCTGCCTGGTACATATCTGGTAGGAAGAGGTTGAGAAAGGGAGTGAGCATGTCGTCTGTAGGGGAGAGGACATCTTCCCTCAGTGTCACCCGACCTTGACCGCACATGGCCCTCCACTTCGCCTGGACACCTCGTGAGCACAGGACCAGTATTTTGTCAGAGGGGTTTTTAAGCTGCTGCCGTTGCCACTCAAGCCAGCGAAGGCGACCCACCATGCCAACTGAGGTGGAGTCTAGCAAGTCCACCAGCACCTTGGTGCCACACTTTGCTTGGAGGAAGGCGCAGAGCTTTAGCACGATGTCCTTGTAGAGGTTGTGGTCCTGGGAGTAAATGACCAGCACTTTGGGGGGTTGTATATGTGTCAGTGGTTTCTCAATTCTCATAGGTTCTGGAGCAACACCACGTTTGCCTGAAAGTGCAGAAGAGTACCAGTAAGATCACATCAGCACGTTCTGATAAATTTCAAACCGAATGAACTGTTTCTGAATGAAATTAGATGAATCTTGAAGACAGGACTCAATAGAGATAGAAATGAAAATGTACTGACTAACCTGGCTTCCTGCAGAGGACGTACATAATAATTGCCATCACTACACACATAAACACTACTCCTGGGGCGACAAATGTGTACAGAGGGACTGTGGGGGCATCTGTTGGCATTACTGTGGAAAAATCAGAACAGTTCATTGATTAGCAGTATTGCTGTTTCTACAGAGTAGAAGTATGACATTTGCAGTCCACTTAGCTAGTTAAAGTCTTGGCCAGTCACAGTGGCCATTTAGCTAAAAAATAAAAATGTGGAAACTGGTGGTGTGTGTACACAGTGCTGAAACTGCAAAACTAACTGACAATGAGATTCATTTATGTACATTGTGTGATAATATTGCAGTTACAACTGTGATTATTAAAAACCCAACTTGATACATGCTCACTTCTGGCTGCTCATGTTGGTCAAACTGTGGACTTATTTGAGAAGCCTGCTTTGGAAGTGATTTTGAACCTTATTTTAACATAGCCTAGGCCTATGAATAATTCCCCATGTTCGGAAATATATAAATCCCACAATTCTTTAAAGCTAACTGAGTTGGTTCCCACATGATGAAGCCTACTGACTTGCATGACCGCCTTCTAAACATCAGCATGTTAACATTGTCATTGTGAGCTGTGCGTAAGGGAAGGAATTTTCACTTTGTCTGTTTGAATCAATTCCCCTAATTATTTCCTCATTTCTCTCACTTACATTGCTGATATTCAAGGTACAAGGAAGAAGGAATTAAGGAAACATATTTCGGGAAAGTGGACTTTTCTGCAGTACGTTATTGTCCCTGTTGTCATACTGGTGGTGGCAGTTTTGGGAGGGCAGTTAAAAAGCAGAAGTTGTCGTTGGTATTAAAAATCAATAAACAGGCTACAGAAAAACAAATATTCCATTGTGATGTAGCTGCAGTATACACTGAATGGAAGCTGTACAAGCTGCATTTAGAAACATGGTGTCTCAGTGTAGGGACAGTCTATCAGCACTTATCTTTCCTGGCAGTTATTCAATACTTTAATGCCTTTTCTCAAAGCAAACTTCCTCTTCATCACTGCCAGCACAGAGGTGATTCAGCATTCCTTTGCAGTGAACACAGACTGTGGAGAAAGTAGTATCGCGAGGAATGTTTTGCAGCTATTTGGTTGTGCTGTCTGTATTTGAGTGTGCTGTCTGTATTTGGTTGTGCTGTCTTTTGTACACCACCACCATTTCTTTTTATGGAAAAAATACAGTCAACAACATCAGGCAGGCAACACGCTCTGAGGACTATCCACTTCTGAAATGCTCTCAGTTGGAATCTAAAGCCAGACCATGTCGGAGACACTACATCATAAAGCCTCGTCCGGTGGAATTTCAGCGTAAGGGGTGTTGTACCACAACCACCACATAGAGCATCTCCACATCTGCTCTCCAGCCATGATATTGATATTCCATTTCTGCCAACATACCACGACAAAAATCCTTAGTTGTTTTTCGACGGACACAGTCCTGGCCACATTGTGGGAAAAGAGGATTGATCTGCAGTGAAGAATAAAATCACATTAACTCTAACATGAAGGTCAAATGTGTTCATAGATTATGCAGAGGTATTGCCAGATGTCAAAAAAGAGTTTAGTAATACACTACATATCACTCAGCAGAATGGATTTAAGAAAACTTACCTCAGCTTCAAACTGGCAGCAGTATCTCGGCCAATTATCAAGGCTGAATGTTACATTTAGGGTCTTCTGATTGGCCTGGAGAAGAGTTTTTTAAAAATAGTTTAATCATTGAGGCACAGCATTTTAAGTACTGAGTACTGATCATAAAAAAGACAAAGTAAGAACACTATCAAGATAATCATCAATTCAAATATGTATAATTCTGGTACATTTGAACCTGTCTGTTTATGAAAATTTGGAAAGAAAACATTTAAAGATTATTTTTTGGGCTTTTTTATTTTCTTATTATTTATTTTATCTTTAATTGGGTACACCTAGCTAAAACGAATGCTGTGTAATACAACAACCCTCCAATAAATCCCACCACCCCATGTGTTTTATTGAGGGTTTGACTATGTATTGTATTAGAAACAGCTCTTAGTATAGCAGAACATTATTCAACAAAGCTTTTGAAATGGCTATCATGATCATCCTTGATTTTTTTGGCACAAGTCACACAAGGTGCACCATTCCCTGGCGTCACACTTAGGGCCTGTCCTCACGAATATGTTTTTCTCGATTCCAGATAAATATTTCATCGTATCAGCCTCGTGTCCAGACGGATATGGCGTTTTCGGGGTGTGAAAACGGTATTTTTTGGATACGGGTTCCAGAGTGGGAAAATCTGAAAACGCCGGATTGCCCAGAGTCGTCTGGACGGCGAAACGGATTTTTTCCAAAATGATGACATATTAGCCCCGCCTCTCTAGCCTTTAACCTCAGCCGCCGCTGCTAGACGCGTCATAACAACAACAACAATGGCGGACTACTACTACTTGTTTGTAAACGGCGCATGCTCCATGGCTTCTTTTCCGGTTTTAGTGTAGTGTGTGGCGGCGTCACAGCGCCACATACAGGCCTGGCATATGTACTACAGTGTTTTGGGTCGTTGTCAGTGAATCCGTGTGGACGCAGATATTTCTGAAAACAACGCCGTGTTTACAGAGATTTTTTTCGAAACAACATCGTATTGGGTGAGGCCGCGTATTCGTGAGGACAGGCCCTTAGACCAAGATCCCCATAAGAACCTGGTCTGTGTTAAGTTTACCCAATGGGTAATAACCCCTCATTCTGACTTTTACATAATATAAATCATTATTTAGTTAGAGGTACTAGTAAAGACAATTTAAAGGTTATATATATGTGGTTTCAAAAAAAACCTACTAAAAGCTATGTAAAGATATAGTGGAGTAATACTATCACACTCCCTCTGCCTGTGTTGCTATCGCAACTCTCTGTGGTTTGTTTGCATAGCCAGTCTGCTTCAGCTAAGCTGTGAATTATGCACTTATTTCCACCAAATCAGAGTTGGTGATTGTTGGAACAGTGGAAATACTAACAAAGACGGTTTTGGTGAGTTTTATTTTGTTTCTGTCCACTTTTAATTAAGTTACAAAGTTACAATGATATGTAAAGTAAAATGAGCATTTTTGTCTAAGGAGTTCCATAATGTTGTCAGACACTTAGAATAACAATCTAAGCCTGTCAGTGGCAATATTTATGTATTTGTGTTTGACACGGTGTATAGTTTGAGATGTCAAATGAATCAAATAAAATTTTAGACCTTGGGGGCACACGGTAGTTAACTTATTACAGCGTACACCCCGGGTTCACCTGTGACCCTTTGCTGCATGTCACAACCCCTCTCTTTCTTCCCCCTTTCCTCTCAATCTTTATCTGTCCTATCAAAAAGCTATAAAAGGCACCACAACAAATTTTCTGACTCAGTGAATTAAGGGTTCATTTCAACTGTTGGAAGGCAAACAAAGACGGTTTTGATGATTTCTATTGAGTTTTTTTTCCCCATTTGTTTTGTTCTGAGATGCTAGTGCTCTAGTGCGACATCCAATTTCATACATCTAACCTCTAAAGAAACAGTGCATAGGGTTTAGTGGTGTAGTTGCAGATTGCAACTCACTCACTTCACCCTCCCTTTCCAAGCATGAGTGATTTTGAAATGCGCAAAAATGCAAACGCCCCAATCTAGTGCCAGTGTTTGGTTTGTCTGTTCTAGGCTACTGTAGAAACACGGCGGTTCAACATGGCAGACTCCAGGAAGGCCACCCGTGGTGTCTGCAGATATAAATAGCTCATTCTAAGGTAACAAAGACACAACAATTCTTATTTTCACGTTAATAAACACCAGAGAAAATATACGTATGAATATTATATTCCATTTCTGACAATAGATCCTTCTAACACCTTGAAATAGCATGTGAATATTCTCTTTGCAGTAGGTAGACAGTTACATTTATTCAAGTGGTTTTCAAACAGAATGAGAAGCCTGTTCTACAAACAGCAGCAAAAACACTGCAGAGGTGAGGTGGGGCACATAGTTTGCTGTACAGGAAAAAAAAACTGGGGTAAAAAGTAGGCTACAGTACAAAACACAGGATGCTGTAATGAGCACCTACAGTAATGTTCTGGGTCAAATGACTGAAAAGGAAAATGCATTCATCTTCTGTATGAGACAGCCTATTGCAGGAATATTTTTCGTAACAGAGAAGCATTTGAATCTCCTGCCTGATGGGAACTTACCTTGTACGTACGCTGTACCTTCTGGGTAGGGGAGCAGCGGACAATAACTATGTACTCCTCACAGAGTCTGTCAGGACTGAAGCTGACAGCCAGCGCAGATTTTCCACTGACTTCAGTCTGAGCCAGAGTGATGCTGGGCTGCCACAGACTTCCTACAGTACAGCGACAAGACAACATGTTAGAAGTGCTTTGAAATATGCTTAGAAATATAACACACTCTGACTGGACTTTAGAATACCAAGGTCTCACCTCTCTCTATGCAAAACTGGGTCCCTCGCATTGTGGGATCTTGACAATCTGGGTAAACCAGAATCAAAGAATGGCATTAAAGTCAAGAGGACTCAAAGTTTAAATGAGCAAAGTGAAGATGACACCAGATGCACAAAAGGTACCCTTACACTGAAGGCACAAGCGCCCAAATCTGATGTTTTTTGAAAGTCACATGGAATCTGAATCTGAATCTATTCTGATTTGGGCCACTTTTCATATGTGGTCCAAAGATCAGTGTTGGGTCAGATTACTTCAATTACTGAATACAAATTAGATGGTTTAATTGGTAATTAATTTAATTAGTAATTCATTGAATTACACAGATAATGTAAATTAATCTGAAAACTGGTGGCTTGAAAGAGGCTGATTATTGAGTCTAATTCCCAGCATTGGTATTTGACAACATGGTAATGAGCTTCCACAATAAGCTATCTTTCTTGGCTCTGATTGGTTGTTTTCAATCAGGTCCGGTGGGTTCTTGCAAATACTATTAGGAGCGCTAGGAGGAGCCAGAGGAAGCTGATTTTTTCACAGATTTTCTATCTCATTTTCTACTGTCAGGATATAATGAAAATTTCAGCAAATATGCCAAAAAGTTATTTTTATAAAAGTTACCTACTAGCTTTAATAAAATCCAAGTACACTCACTCATAACTTCAACCGAACAGTGGCAGGGGCTTCAGGAGACCAAAAGGAGAAACTCTTCCTGGTGCAGTTTCATTTGCTCAATCCAAAACAACAACAACCTAATGCTGTTTTCAACTACAACTCACCAGGAACAAAGACATCAGTGCTGACGTCGTAGCTGCTGTGGTCCAGCTCTGGTTTGGGGATGTTGAAGACAGAGACACGGTATCTCTTACCGGGATCCAACACTAGCATGTTGGCTGAGAAAGACCACTGAAAACACAAAATAATACTGTCTGTCAGGGAGTTCTCTGATTCCTGTTGATCAATAACAACCACAAACAACTGAGTGGCTGGGCTTTACATAAAGTTATGTAACGGTTGTCTAATACTGATACTGAATGCAGCATCTGATGCAACTGGGGCCAATTTGATGACAGAATAAACAAAAATAAATAGCGTTAGCTAACTAGCTAATAGCATCTAACCTGTTAACTTATGTTGGCAACAGTTAACTTCTTTTAGTAACAAGTCCATGTGGAACCTCTGTAAATCACCTTGGTACCGCTGTTGTCAAACTGGCCTCCATCTGTCTCTGAGGCTGTGTTCACTGGGAGGCTGCTGAGCCCCATTCAGTTGCAAGCTAACGGCAGCTACATTAGCAGTTAGCCGAGTATATTTAAATTTTTAAAATGTAACATAAAATATGATCCAGTTTCACCAAAATCACTGATAAAGTTGTTTTTGTACAGTAATCAGTGAGGTCCTGCCTCCAGAAACACTCTGCTCTGGCAGAAAGCCACACTGTTGCTAGCTAGCTAACTAACCTGTATCACTAAAACTTGAAGAATGATTGACAGGTTAATGTCATAATATTATTGGTTGAAATTGGTTAGTAAATTTATTGGATTTTGATCCAAAGAAATTAGGTCTTTGTAAATGTTTTGGCATGCCTTCTTAAATGAAAAAAATAAAAAAACATTCACTATATCCCGACAGTAGTACATGGGACAGAATAATCAGTGAACAAATCTGGTTCCTCTGGCTCCTCCTAATGCTTCTGATGGCATTGGTAAGAATCAATAAGGCCTGAATGAAAACACCCAGGGATCCAAGAAAGAGTAATTGGTGGTTGAGTCTCATTCCCAGGTTGTCAAATACTGACAGGTTGGGTCCTAAACATCTATATTTGATGACCTTAAATAAAAAGACTCAATTTAATATTCAGTATCTGCTTCATGATTAAGACTCAAGAACCAACTGTCTTTCTTGGCTCTGATTGGTTGTTTTTGTCATTCCTGATTGATTCTTGCAAATGTCATTAACACTAGGAGGAGCCACAGGAAACTGATTTTTTCACAGATTATCTGTTTCATGTACTACTACTACTGTCAGGATATAGTTTTGGCAAATATAACAAAAAATACTTTTATAAAAGTTATCTACTGCATCTTTAAAGTTAAAATGACTTTTTTCATTTCACCTGGACTTTAAAGATCTCCTCCAGATATGTATTACAACATTTACAAATAATAAATAAATAATTCAATGTGAGTTCCCTTATATGGAAATTACTTTAAATGTCCATGCTGCTGAGAAAAGAAAAAACACATTGAGCAATTAAACAAGGATGTTGTGAGTAATCTGATCTGAAAAACATTATGACGGCCATTTGACATTTGATAATTTACTATAAGTGCACTATCCAGATAGCATTGTGAGGCACCTACCTTCTCATTTGATGGAGTTCTCATTGGTAGTTTATCTTTGAAAGAATATCGAACACACAAGTTCTGGTTGGTGGTCGTTACCAGAACATGAAGCTCAGTGGCTTTCAGGTAACGAATACTGCCTGAGGACGAAACACAGCAGAGGTCTTCACTACAAGAGGAAGTTATCAAGTGCAGCTTCGCTAAAGTGTCTTCTGTAAATCTTGAGACAGCAGACTGACTCACCATCATCCTTTATCTTCCAGTTAGCGAGCAGCACAGGTTGCAGGTGTCCCATCTCATCCTGTCTGGTGTCCACAGACACCTGCAGGTCCTCTGGACCGCTCGGAGTGTACTCATTTACATTTCGCCATGCTGGGTCCATACAATTACCTGCACACACACAGAATAGACAGTTAGTTTGGGGTGGAAGACTGAATTTTTTTAAATTTTAGGATTTTAATCTTTTAATGTTCACATTTTGGTGATTACATTTTTAGAGAAATGTGAGCATTCTTCTTTTTATTATTTGCTTATATCTGTTGTTATGAAGTTGTTCTATAAGACATAAATGTGTGTAGTGTTTGCTTTTACTGTAACGTGCCTTACATCATGATTATTGTTTTAAACTTGTTTCATGATTTTAAACTGATTCCAGGCTGACCATTTTTACACCTGGCCAGTGGATGAAAACAAACTTGGCTAATTCTGGCCTATTTACAGCAATGTTTTTTATCTGAATATATCAGTGAATGGGTCCATCAGTGGTTGCTTTTTTGGCCAGTTTTTGTCATTTTATTTAGCTTGTTTAATGGTCTGCCGCTGAAGAATGAGAGCTGCTGCTCAGTGGTGCAGTACACACACTGAGCTGAAAACAAGCGTAGAACGTTAATCTTTCAGTTCGGTTAGTTTGACGACAGGGAATACAGTTACAAGGTGATTCACAGAGGCTCCAATCAGGACACAGCAGAGCCAGAATATCTTCACATCTAACTCTGTTAGACACCACAGTTGGTGTATGTTCAAACAGTGGAAAGACTGATAAAGACGGTTTGGTGAATTTTTATTTATTCTGTTGAGTTTGAATGAAGTGTGTTTTAAGGTGGGTTAAGGAAATATGCTGGTCTTTGTTCAGTAAAAAGAGAAACTTGACGTTAGAAGGTGTTGTTATATATTTTATTTTCCTTTTTTGATATTTTAGTTTATTTAAGCTATTATAGCTTGTTGCAATTCCGCTTCCAAAAAATGCCGCTCATCTCTCAGTTGAACTTGGCTTAGAATTTACATTAGCACTCCTTCAGGTGCATAATACAATTAAACACATTAACCAAAGCTAGCGCTTAGCTAGCGATTAGTGTTAGCGCTCTTTTCAGTATTAATACAGTGAAAGTTGAAGTTGTTCTCTTATTTTGCACACACAGTGTTTCCATTTGGAAAGCCATGTTGCATTTATGTATGCATCCAGTGGGGCATCACAATAAAATGAGGCATAATGTGTTAATTCCACAATAGGAGATATGTTATGTTGTTACCTAACTGCATATATCGGTATCGGGTGATATCGGCAGAGGTGGGTAGAGTAGCCAAAAATTGTACTCAAGTAAAAGTACTGTTACTTCAGAATGACTCAAGTAAAAGTAAAAAGTAGTCATCCAAATAATTACTTGAGTAAGAGTAAAAAAGTACTTGGTGAAAAAACTGCTCAAGTACTGAGTAACTGTTGAGTAACGTCCAATTTATTTTTTAACACAAGCATTCAATCAGACAGACAAAAATACAAAATAATCATCTTTAGGCAAATTATAATTCATCCAATCAATAAAATAAATTAAAATTAATTAATTAATTAATTAATTACAAAATATCTTAAATTAAAATAATCCAGGTAAATTCAAGTACTTAAAAAATAAAATCAACAAAATAATAATAAATAAAAAATAAATAAGCGCAAGTAACACAAATTTCCAAACCTTTATACTTTTTTACCAGGCTCTGCAGGCAGAACTATTACTGTTCTGTATACTATTACTATTACTATTACTAGGCAGCCCATAAACTCTCGTAAACTGTGTGTGTGTGTGTGTGTGTGTGTGTGTGTGTGTGTGTGACAAGACACCGCATAATGTAGCTGCTGTTTCGCACTTTTACTAAGGTAAACATGCTTTCAATATGAGGCCAGGGGTGTTCCTTCTCGTCTGTGTCTGCATTGCCGACGGTTCATTCTGACATTTTTGTTTGCTACGACTGTAACGCTAACCCGTCCCGCCGCTGATATTGAGTATGGTCACGTGACAAGACTGCACAACTACGTTTGATTGGTGAAACACAGTCATGTGGTAGAGCGGAAGTCTCTCTCTCTGTCAAAATAAAACATTAAAATGAGGTGTACGCTGGGGAGACAAAAACAATGACGCGTAGAATACCAAAGTAACAAGCTCATTGTAGCCTAATGTAGTACAGTTTCTTCTTCACAAATCTACTCAAGTAAAAGTAAAAAGTATAGTGATTTAAAACTACTCCTAGAAGTATATTTTTTTCAAATACCTGCTTAAGTAAATGTAACGGAGTAAATGTAACTTGTTACTACCCATCTCTGGATATCGGTATCGGAAATTGAGAGTTGGACAGTATCGGAATATCGGACATCGGCAGAAAAGCCAATATCGAGCATCCCTATAAATAAACTATAAACTAAACTTCATCTTGTGCTCAAAAAAATAGCAGGAATTAGGAAGAGAAACATTCACTCACTTGTTTTTGCTGTACACTGCAGATCCTGTAGCAGGAAAAAGAGACAGAGAAACAGAGGATTAGAAAGGAGGACTATAGTCTTATTAATCTTACAAACTGTACTGATTTGCCAACTTTTCACCAGTTACAGAAAGTACTTTACAGAACAGCAAAAACCCCTGAACATATCAATAACCATTAAACAAAACCAAACATCAACATGAACAAGGGTAGGGCTCTAAAGAGGCTTGCTCCTTTCTTGCTCCAATCAGAACCACTGTGTGTATCCAAGTTGCTGAGACTTGGAACTTTCATCTTATGACATATTTGTATTATATCAAACAAAATAATAGCAAAACATTGTCATGCGTGTTTCGTTTTGTCGTCCTACCATTTCATGTTTGTTTTTTTCCTGTGCTGTGAGGAAGGCGCTGTCTGTATGCTGTTTACCTGGATCCACGTGAACGCAGCTTTGGATTTGCTATATACTAGGCTATTTATGTGAAAGGACAGTTTGAAGATAAAAGAGACATATATAGTCACATTTTTGTTAGGTAATGTTAGTAAAATGCTAGCTAACTAGCTAGCTAATCTACATTAATTGTTAGTTATCTAGTAAGCTGGCTAATCCTTATATGATTGATTTAGATTATAATATATAATTATATAATATAATATAATTGGGGTTAGGAGTCGCTCCATGGAGGGTCGTGAAGCCTTCTTAATTTTAAGGCGTACTAGAAAACCTTAAAAATATACACAGTAGGCCTATATCATAGCATTTCATTCATTTCTGTGAAGAAAACTAAATGAAACTGTTATTTTTAAAGTTTAGACTATTTTAAGTAAAACTAACTCCATTTTGTAAGTTAAAACATCCTTGATCAAGTAGCTATAGTATAATATTTAAATGTTTATTTGTATTGTGAAAAAAAACTACTACAAAGTACTTAATTAAGTGTTGTTTTTAATTACAAAATTGAGTTTGTAACTTAAAGTGTTACAACATTTTTTTTTTTTTTTTAATTAGTTAAAATAAGTTATTGCATTACAGTGTATTATTTATTATCTAAACTTTGATGACCTGAACACAAGCTGTATTAGAACAATGGCAAAGTATCACAAAGAATAAAACACCAAATTGGTAAAAAAGTTCCTAAATATATCAGAAAAACTAATCTCTGTTCAGTATTCACAGGAAATATGAAAAATGCTCAAAAAGTATCCAGATTGCTCGTTTTACACAAACTTCCAGCAGTTATTGTGTTCATTGTTCTGTTTATCAGTCGTTGTGTTGTTGAATATAGTCAGAGGTCGACAGTTTATTCTGTGGGGTCCCACTGGCTACTGTTAAAAATACACTTAACGTTCAAAAAACACATTTAAAATGAATTATTATTATTATTATTATTATTGTTGGACACAACCTCGTACAGTTTCCTCTGAGCCCACAGCCAGCTGAAAGATAGAACACTTGTTTGTCTACCTTTGGTTCACCGCTGCTAACGTTAGCTTACCTGTCGGGAGCAGTTGAGAGGCCATGACAAGATCCTCACGGCTGACGATAGCGACACGCACATTAACACCAACAATGAACGATAGAGAATCATTTTTAAAGACGTTGCCTGTAGCTGCCGTCACACTATTCTGCCTTTAGAAAACATTTCAAACTGCTTGGGCCTAAAAGAATGAGAAAACGCTGCGACAGGGAGTGTGACTGACGCTGCTGCTGATTAATGAAAAACTTCTTCCTGTTAAATATGTAAAGTACCAGTTTACTGTAAGTTACCTCATGCTGCCTTCAGGTCGCCTGGGAATATAGAGCACAACTCTGTTGATTGCTTCTGATAGGCTTATTATCTTTAATGCGTAAAATAGACACTTCAGAGTTATTATAGTTTTGTGTTTTTCATTCGGTTTTTTTTGTTTTTAACCCATTTTCCAAAGTTGGTTTACTCTTAAATTTTTTTTAGTTTTAGTTTTGTTGATTTTATGAGTTTTGTTTGTTTGTTGAAATGTTAAATAAATGTTTGCGACAGAACTGCTGACCGATCTCATTCATGTCTTCGTGAGATTAAAGCTGCAGTACGTAACTTTTAAAAAACATCTTATTTTCTGAAACGTTCACTATATCCTGACAGTAGTATACAGATAATCTGTGAAAAAATCAGGTTCCACTGGCCCCTCCTTGTGCTCATAATGGTATATATGACTATGTAGGCTACTACTGTCAGGATATCGTGAAAGTTCCAGCAAATATGACAAAAATATTTCAATATCTGAATAAAGACATATATACAGAAGTTGTTGTTTTTCACATGATAAAGTGCCCTATAGTTCCCTTCCAGTAAAGTGCCTGTCCCTCAAACAGCCCAAGTCTGCCTCTGATGCTAATAACAACAGCATTCTTTTTTTATTATAGTCCTCTGGATTATAGTAGCTCCTTTGGGCTTCACTGATACCATATAGTTGTGCTCGGTTGTTCCACTGGCCCCTCTTAGTGCTCATAATGGTATTATGGTATGAAAACAATCGGAGCCAAGAAAGATACAAAGACAGTTTGATCAATCTTTTTCATTCACCATAATAAGAGAACTGATCGAAAGTGGACTGAACAGCAGCACCACGCTACACGGGTTGAAAGCACCTGAAGGGAACATGTTAGTCAGCCTCCTCCTCCATCAGCTCAACGGGGTGGAGGACGTACAGGGACTTTCCACATCAGTAAACATCAGCGCTGCACACGTACATTTGGACAAATTCACCACCAGATGGCACAAGAGGACTTAACTGCAGCAGTGTGATCTGTGTAAGACTGCACGGACATTTCCCCTCTAAACCGCTCACATGGTTTCATTTTAATAACTTCAATAACTGTTCACATTATCCAGTAATACACAAAAAAAATGTTTTTCTTGTTTCCTTTTGATTTCCTTTTTTCCTTTTGAAATTGCTAATATGTACTATTACTTAAATACGATTCAAATGCAGGACTTACACTCAACAGAGCATTTTTACATTGTTCTACTGGTACTTTTACTTAAGGTCTGAATACTAAGTCCAAATGAAAATACATTTACATACTGGTTATGCAAGTGATAGTCAACTTCCTGTTTACATATATGTGGTTAACATTCTGGTGTCAAAGTTAAGGTGCATGAATGCACTTCATGGACAAGGAAATTGTCCACTCCTGGTTTGTTTAATGAGTAAATGACAAGCAAGCAGCCTTATAATATTCAATTATATTGTATATAGTGTATATATTTTATGATTATATTTTATTTTATATTTTTGTATATTTTATTGTTTTATGTTGGATTTTATTATATTTTCTTTAATCTGTGCACTACATTCCCATATATCCTATCTTACTGACATTGTACAAATAAAAACAGACATTTTATATTAACCAGAATATAGAATAACAATACATGCAATTGCTGAAACAAGTTAATAATATTATCAATACAATTAACAAGTCAAGTAACTGAATATGACATACAATAATGAATACAGTTATAACACACATTTATAAAATGTAGTAGCAATATAGGGTACATATATTTTGTGCATGTGTAATTATATAATTACTAATAAGTAGAGGACGATGGTACAGGAAAAACTAATTTTAGTTTCAAGCATTAAAAACAAAAAGGTACATTTAGCATGTACAATACTTACAGCAGCTGAGAGCGCTTGGTAGTGGCTGAAGTAATGATCTGGCAAAGAGTAGATGAAGGGCTGGGGTTTAAGTACTCCTGTTCAGATTAGTTGATGGATAGCAGGTAAGCCTATACCCACAGCCCAATCACAAACACACACAAACTAAACTAAAACTAAACAAAATATACAAAGAGACACAGACAGAGGGGAAACACCATGGAAGTGGAAAAAAACACTAGAAACACAAGGAGAGAGGACATTAACCATGACAGAAACCTATGTTATTTTTGCTGATCAAAATGATCAACACAGAGTGACACTAGCCGCCACAGAATTTGACAACCTGCTAAAGAGTGCCAGAAGCGGGCACAAAATGGTACTAGCTATCACAGAGTGCCAAAACCTGCCACACAATGCCACAAATGACCATCCAGTTAAACTAACTGCCAGAGGTTTCCAACAAGAAGCCACACAGTGCTTTTAGCTGTCACAGAGTACAATATGCTGGCACAGAGTGCCAATAGCTACCACAGACTGACAGCAGCAGCCACCGAGTGCTAAACCCTGCCACTGAGTTCTACTAGCTGCCACACAGTTTCACAAGGTGCCATAAAGTGCCACTAACCATGACAGCAACCTGGATTATTTTTCTGCTCAAATGGATCACCATAGCTTGCCACTAGTTCAACAACCCGCAAGTGCAAAACAGCTGACACAAAGTGAAACATTGCCACAAGCTGGCAGAGAGTGTTTCTTGGTCGCCACAAGCTACTGGAGTGCCATTAGCAGCCACAGGGTGCCATTAGCTGTCACATGTCACTCAAGTAGCACAGCAAGTAGCACTCTGTGCTTATGGGAGCTAGTAGCACTCTGTGGTGATATGTAATTTCAACAGCAAAAATAATCTGTGGCAGCTAGTAGCACTGTGTCACTGTGGCCGCTACAAGGTACTCTTTGGTAGTTTGTGGCCCCTTGTGGCAGCCACTGGCACTCTGTGGTGATCAATTTCAGCAACAAAAATATTCCAGGTTACTGTCATCATTAATGTAGCTTGTGCTACGCTATGGAACTTTGTAACAACTAAGCTACTGTCACTCTGTGGTGATTAGTAGCTCTCGGTGGTAGCTTTTGGCAGCTAGTAGCATTCTGTGGCAGCTAGGGGCACACTGTGGAAACTAGTAGGATTCAGTGGCAGTGCCACAGGTTGCTACAAAATGCCACAAAGTGTCACAGGGCTCCATTACTTGCCACTTTCTGCCACAAGGTGCCACAAGCTACCACTGTGTGCTTCTGATTGCAGCAGGGTGCCACAAACTGCCAGTGCCACTAGCTGCCACATAGTATCACAGGGTGCCACAAGCTACCACAAAGTGCTACTAACTGCCACAAACTACCACTGAGTGAAACTACAGAGCACCACAGAGTGTCACTGGTTGCCATGAGCTGCCACACAATGCCACTAGCTGGGAGCTACAGATTACCAACACCTGCCACAGAGTGTCACTAGCTGTTAGAGTGCAACAAGGTGGTAATAACTATGACAGAAGCCTGTATTATTTCGGATGATAAAAATTATCACCACAGAGGCACACTAGCTGCCACAGAGTTTGATAACCTGTCGAGGTGCTACAAGCTGATGCAGACTGCCAAAACCTGCCACGGATTGCCACAAGCTGCCAGATAGTGCCACTACCTGTCACAGAGTGCCAGAAGCTGGATATAACCATGACAGCAGCCTGGATTCTTTTTCTTATAAAAATGATCACCACAGAGCTTGACAACTTGCTGTGAGAGCTACAAGTTGGTGCGGACTGCCACAAGCTGCCACCAAGTGCTACTACCAATGGGTGATATAAGCAGCCACAGGGAGCTACAAGTTGCCAAAAGTGGGCAATAACCATGTTGCCAAAACCATTAACTGCCACAGAGTTCGACAACTTGATACAGAGTGCTAAAAGCTGCTGCAAACTGCCACTAGAGTCCCTAGAGTGCCAGTAGTTGCAACTACTGGCACTCTAGGGACTCACCAAGTGAAACTAGTTGATACAGGTTGCCACAAGCTCACCACAGTGTCATAGGGTGCCATTAGTTGCCACAGGTTGCCACAAGCTGCCACACAGTGCCACTAGCTGCTGTGCCACAGGCTGGCATAGGCTCCCACCAAATGCTGCTAGCTGCCGTAGGGTGCTACAAGTTGCCAAAGAGGGCCACAAGCTGCAACAGCTGAGTGTCATGTAAAAAAAACCCAACAAGCTTACCAATGGCTATTATTAGCAGCTACTGCGAGTTACAGGTTGCCAAACACTGTCAGAGAGTGCCAGAAGCTGGCAATAACCATGATGATTGATTGCGGAGTATCATTCTCAGGGGAGTCACATCTTTTAGCATAGCTAATCACTGTCAAGGATTTCTTTTGGATCAGCAAAATCTGAGATAAAAGGGACAAGTGGCAGCCCAAACAGTATTACGATACATTATATGAGGATAAACTAAGCTGTAATAAAAGATAAAATACAGGATTGACACCAATTGATGGAAGATAGTTGAATACGGACACTGGGAATGAGACTCAACAATGTTTCATCTTCAAGCATCAAAGCAGTTATTTTTAGGCAATTATTTTGCGACTTTTATTGTATACCCCTCGGAAAGAATACTACACCAGTCTCAGTCATGGATGTGACTGGTGTATCAGCAAATCACCAGCAGGTGTCACTGTAGCTATGTGGACAGCATGAAGGAAACACAGGGAGGTGTCACCTGATCTGACACTAACAAATGTCCTCCACCTCACTCGGTTTTTAGCATTCCTTTTGAGTTCCCCAAGTTGAGCCCCTCCTAAGACATTGCTGCCTGTACTCCAGCCTTGAGAGTTCCATTTCAGCGCTTGGCGGGTCATCTTTGTGGCAGGTTTTCTGAGGGTGTGTCTAATTCAACTCCACTTTCCATTAAAATTTATCCTGGACTGCAACCTTGCAGGATGTGGTGGCGATGGGGTTTAATACCCCTGGTAGGTTTAACCAGACTAGACAGTTCAATGGCGTGGAGGCAGACGAAGCAGTTTCTGGTCCTCCAGGTTGGGTGTGGGCTTAACTACGA